TAATTGGCAATTAATTTTTGAAACACATAAGTTTTAATGAACTAAATAAAATGTAAATTTCATTGTGATCGAATAAAACTGTAAGACGATTTAAATCATTCGGCACTTACTTAAAAATTTTAATAAGTGTTCCCTCGGCATCTATTTTTTTGGATCGTATTAAACTATTAGGTAAAAAAAATACGGAGTTGACAGTTAATTAAAATTTAAACAAACTTAAGTTTTATAAATTTTTTGATTGTTTTAAAATAACTTTGATTGTAAGTAGGTAGGTAGGTTCTATAGATATTTATCAAAGTACATTTTGATAGCAGTTTGTAACAAAAAATAATTAACATGAATGAATTATTATTACATTTATTTAGAAGTGTAGCCAGCTCCGTTATTTCATGATTGTTTTTATCTAAAAACGAATATTGTAAAGTAATATTCTTTAAAGACAATATTATCTGTTAAAAGTAGCTACATTATTATAAAGTGCACAACAATTTGAAAATCTTGCGATTTTAAAACTTAGAAACAAGATAAACAAACACCAAATATCCATTACCGTCGAACCATCATACTTTTATGGACTTTTTTGTAGTAAACAAGTCATTATGGGAATGACTTCCTTCTATTCCAAATATGCAGATGATGGGTATAGCGTAGTAAACAATAACCACAGACTGTTACAAACAACAAAATAAGTCAATGTTAATTTATATTACGCTATTACGCAAAATGTAACTTTTGGTTAATTAAATAACATTACAATATTTTTTTGTTATTTACAATTATTCAATGTAAGTGTGGCTATTAGTGCTATTACTAAAATAATGAAAGAACAGTTTTATAGACTTTTTTGTAATTTGCCTCCATCTTGATTCTCTAATAGGCGTATTAAAGAATGCGACGTCACCATGTGCGATGTCAAAAAGCGACTTGATCTTTGACTCTTAAAATTAAGTCATATTACCAAACGTCACAACAATCCCTAAATCGATTAAAGTAAAAATTTTTGTTTAAAAACGGCATAAAGTGGGCAAATTACAAAAAATTGTATAAAAACTCCTTTCATAAGACCTTGAATCACTCATTCTTTAAAATAACTCGTGGCCATTTATTTTTTAAAATTGAATTCGTGCTTCAAAATTGGTTTTATGAAACTTGTTTATTAATATACTATTATAGAACAAAGCCATTTTTGAAAAAATATAACTAGCTGGTCAAGTGAACAAAAATTTTAAGCTTTAAAATTTTTGTTGCCTAAAAAATAATACACATAAATTTTAATGACTCCATATCAACTGTATCAATATCCAATTGAATGTGCTTGATGATTCTTAATTATGGGTGTGTCATAATCAGGGGCGTCACGTCGGAAGGTCAAGAGGAGACATACCCCCACCTCGCAAATAAATACAATTTTTTTGCACATCTATGAACCCATAGACTGTGTTTTTAGCCGTTAACCTCTACACGTCTTAATTAAATAATTAGAAACAATTATTGTTGTGTCTAATAATTTAATTAATAGTGGTAGGTTCTATAGAAACGAGTGTGTTATAATATTACATTTTCTTCACACGGCCTACTTTATAAACTCGTCGTCTCATATTCATATTCTATAAAATAAAATCAATTCCAATTTTGTCCCAGTTTCTCCTTGAACTATATCCAATGGTCACATATACATATAGTGTATTCTTTGCCTAGCAGATGGCGCCAGAGTGGTGTTTGTAGCCGATGGCTCGACAGTACCGAGCGCCAAAGTTCAAATGAATTTTAAGTAGTTTCCTGTAGCGCTGCCATAACGCAATCAATACATTGGGGTCAGCAAATATTTTCGAGGTATAAATAAAGTGTCGAAATGCGTTTACATTTGCTAGTTAATCAAATGGCAACCTAGTGTTAGTCACAGTGAGATAGTTTGAAACTGAGTTTGAGTGCATAGTTGCGAAGAATCTCAACGAAAACGTGAGATATTCGGAAGTTTAAATGATTATTAATTTAAAGAAGCATGAAAATGGCGGAAAAGTCCGTAATGCTGACGTTCCAAAATAATTGTGAAGCTATTAATAGTAATTGTGTCGAGGTTATAAACGAAGCAGACGAAAAAAATACTAATAATGACATAACAGAGATAGCAACAAATACAAATAAGCCGGAAGACGAACCAGAAATGACAGGGACGCAAGAGGACGCTGTTGAAAAATTTTTAGCGGGAGAAAGCAAAAACGACTTCACTGATGATCTCTTATTGGAGAATATCGAATCAGAAAACGACGGCATTGAATTCAAAAGCGACAATGTCATTATGGACTGTCCTGAGATTGAAAAATCCGAATTTTTTGATGGGCCAGAAGAAGAAGATGGGGAAGACGAGAAAATGGAAGCTTTGTCGTGTGGAAACTCCATAGAGGAAAGCCTAGAAGCGGAGAATACTGAAAGGTGAGCCTCATTTCTTTATATCTCTTCATAAATATTTTAACATTCTTCGGTCTTACCGTCTACCATATGCCAATTTCTTAAATAATTCATTGGAGACAATAGGTTGCGAAGGCCGGATGAACGTTTCTTTTAGATTGGCCATGAACTAACATTCTATAAAATAAACTGTAAAAGATTGTCGCTATTTTTTCCTTGAAGCATCAAATAAAACCTTATTGTTTATTAGAACGAGAATCTTTTCGATTATTATTATCTAATAAAACTTAAAATAGTATTTTAATGTTTCTCAACTGAGTAATTTCCATTTATCACAACGATTAATTATATAGTTTATGTCACAATGTCATTCCCCAAATTTTACATTTTCTTCCCATCTATTGTTTTGTCACATGAGAACAAAACTGAAGATCCAACTGAAACTCCTCTTTGAATGTTGTTTTGCAACACGAAATTAAAACATTATTTAAAACAAGTCTTTTTTATTATTGCCATTTTCGCTTACCATTAAATATTTATTTTTAGTGTAAAAAAATATATAGAATTTCAATCACAAGCAAAAACAGTTTCTAACAGTTTTTCCTAATTTTTTCTTATATAATAGAAAAAACATCAAGCTTATTAAAAAATACAAAAAAATTTATATAAACAAAATTAAATATTTCCCCTTTTGGTTGTAATATTCTATTCTGCTACTTTTTACTATATGTAAAAACTTTCAAAAGTTCAATATAAAAAACTACCTTATACTGTCATCTGACTGATATTTGCCAATGAAACTTTTTTTTGTCATTAAAATTGTTAATTAAACAATTTGTCTATCTTAGGAAATTTATTAATTGAACTAAGTGTAATTAAATCATCGCTTTGATCTGKTGCCTACCTGTTATTACGCCTCAAATTACTATTTTTGAAAGTAAATAAGTCAAATTGACATATACTTGACAAGAGTTAAAAATGAGGTTATTAATGTAAAGATTTTTTTAGAGTTTACATTATGAAAATGACAATACTGCCCGAAATTTTAATTCCGCAACTGTACATAAGTATACTATAGTAAAAAGTAGTTTTTATCGATTTTCAAAAATAAAACAACATTTTTGATCAGTGAAAAATGGTGATTCATCGTCCTACCTTGTTTTTTCAAAAATATTTTCCATTATAATGATTTTAAATTTTGTTTTCAAAAATGTCAAAAAATAAAAAAGTGCTACGTTGACGAGTTTTTAATAGTAGGTATATTCGTAAGGCGTTTCGTAAGGTAAGTTTTGTGGAACGAGTTCAAGTTTATGAAACGAGAAGCGAAGCGCGAGTTTTATAAAGAAAGAGTTCTCACAAATGACTTATAAAACAAGTTTTTTAAGCTATTTTTTCTGTTTTACTCATTTTACGAGTACGTGCTTTTTTAACATAAAAGTTATTTTTTTTAGTTTAGGAACTTTTGCCCTAATAAGGCGGTAGCTGGTAATAAACGCCACAAAGCTTGAAAAATTCGATTTTTGTAGTGTCAAATCTCAGGTATTTTTCAAAATTTTGTTGAATTAACAATGAATACTGCAAATATTTCATGCACTCCACCTGAATTAAGAGAAATCGCTAAAAACACCGCTGAAAATTTACTAAATTGAACTGGTCTATTTCAGCACTCGAATTGGTGTTGAAATGGTTCATTAAAGCATCAATTTTGATATCGAAATAAGCTTTCTTTCAGACGCAGAATAGAAAAATAACATTTTATGTACAAAACTTTTTTGCAATTGCAAAAATTATAAAATAAATAATTATAAATAATGTGAATAGTTAAAAAGAAAATAAAAATATAAATTCCGCGTCATCTGTCGCGTTAGAAACATACTAAAACCTGTTCCGTACAGCCTTTTTTTTCCATTGCTCAAATACGATTTCATAATACTTAAAAATGTCAATTTGTTTAAATGTTTAAATATTTTGAAAATATTCTATAATTTATTTATAGAGAAAGAAATTTTGATATTTCAAAAACGCAGTAAAAACATAGGTGCCTTTCTGTTTTAAGAACAAAGTTGATACCCATTTCTAGAATAACCGGAAGTGCTGTCATTTTGAAAACATTTTCATTGAGGAGAACCTCACCAGCTTTGACTCGATAGAAATTTTGAGATAATTATCATTAAAACAATATTATGTGAGGTTATTATTTATTGTCTTGTTTTCGAAAAAAAAGATTATTTTTGCTTAAGAAACCTTAACTCTTAACAGTAATTTTTAACAAATACATCAAACTTGACACATATAATGAAGGATTTTATGTGGTAATGTAAAGGGCGAGTAAATGCAATTATTATTATCGATAATGGAATTAGTTAACAAGGTTATTTCAACAAGTTTTTGTTCAATATTGTCTTATCATGACTATCCACATTTAATTAAGTAATAGCAATAAATACACCTTTGTTTAACAAAATGAGGAAGGGAGTAATCCCCTGGATTTTTTATTATTTACAAAATTGATTATGTAAATTGCGATAAATAAGTAATTACTATGTTAATGATATTTGAAATAAAATATAAGATTTTGAGTCTTTTTAATATTTAGGTAACTTTTATCGCGTGGCTTAAACTTTTAAAAAAAGAAAGTCTATTATTTTTTCTAATCTATCGACCTACTTCTCCCTCAAGAAATTCAAACTTCGTTGACGTCATAGCGGTACACATAACACAATAGTGAGGGTAAATGAGAGAGGGTGCTCTTTGAAGGGCATCTGCCTAACCCTGGCAGGCGACAAGGACCCSTATGAGAAGAGTCCTTAAGAGTGAAGCCGCATTATRCCAATCAGCAGGGGATGAATCGTTGCAAGCTTGAAATGCACCTTAAAATAGTTTGATCGTGTGCATTGCGAAAACGCCACCAAATATGCCCCAATGTTTGGTGAAAACTTGCGGGAATTATTATGGAAAGACACGTAATGGCAATAAAGTAATTTATCACATGTTACCAGCCAACCCTAAGCTGCAATCCAAGTGGGTAGAATTGTGTACAAACAAGAAAAACGTGAAAGTAAGTGGGTACGCTCGCGTGTGTAGTGAACATTTTTCTGAAAATTCTTATCAGAGAGATTTACAACACGAGCTTCTCGGATTGCCTCTACGCAGAAAACTGAAACCTGATGCACTTCCTGAGCTGAATTTACCCCTCAAAGTGGCCAATGAAAAGGTTCTGGCAACAACTGATCATAATATAAAAGATGAGAGGTGTTCCAAGCCGTGGAAAATGCCSATGAGGTCCAGTATCAGAATTGCGAAAAAAAAGTCAATCGAGTGTCTAAACCATTCCCGCAAAGAAAACTTGTCTGAAAATTTTTCCGACAAGGTGAAATTCATGGCAAAACTATTGCTGAAATTTGAGAGAAACGAAAACGTGTCTCTGCCTACTTACAACTTTGCTTTGTCTCTGGATAAAATCCAGGAACTTCAAACGACTAATTTGTCTCCAAGGTAAGAAAATTTTCAAGTGAGAAATGACATTTAGAGGTCGAATATACAAATGCAATGTGCGCTTTGGTCCCAGTATTGGCCTCGTGCCACTTTAGTTCGATGAAACCGGGTTCAAGGTTTCTGCAGGATGTCGTGTTCTGCCATTACGACCTTGACAAAAATATTTTCTGTCTGCTTGTTGCAGCCTACCATGCACTTAAGCAATTTGCATACTGACATGAACAATAACTGTTGTTACAATACCCACGCTAAAATTTTTACATCAAAAAAGGATAAATAATACACACTATGCGTCAAATACATGACTGATTACAGTATTTAGGAGGAAAATGAATAATAAAAAAAAATAAAAAAAAACTGTAGCTTGAAATCCGAAAATTCGATTTGTTAAAATTTTCAATTTCAAGCCAATAAAACCTTTAAAGAAATCAATCCGCATGAAAAACAAGAGGCCTGCTTACGATCGTGTCTTTCCAATTGTCTTGAGGAGTGCAATACTACAATCCAATTCCCACGTTACCAATTTTCCATTTATTGAGTCGAAATTCGTAATGTTTTTCCACCGCTCCTCGAAATGGATTTTTTCCCTTTTGCTTCGAGAAAGTTTGATCAATACTGCACGAATTGCTGTAATTTTCTTATTAATTCTATTTAAGCGGGAATGTGTTATTTATTAATGTGATGGGCAGACACCACAGTTTTTTTTCTCCGAGATACATGATTACTATTTTTTAATTTAATATCAAATTAAAACATAAATTGAGAGAGAAAACGACGCTGCAAACGAATTTTTTATTATTTAAAGAACAAACAGTACAATAAGTTGTATTTGTGAACCACAGGGAAAGTCATTAAAAAATGTGATTTTACCATCTGCGTACATAAACAAGCATCAATAATAATTGCTATGCGTATCAAAAGAATTAATTAAAATTACATTTTTGAATTAGGCGGAACGCATTTTATTAAATAACTAATTGAGACTGTCATGTATACTTGAACTGATTTACTATATCACTTTCTTGTTATTACAACAAATTAATACTCAACTGTCATTTATTTTCTGTTATGATCGTTACGGTATTACAGGTTTTATGTTGTTACAAGCAAATTACATTACGGTTTGTCATGTAGCAATTTCAGGCTCTGCACTAAAGTGCAGTAAACTTTTACTTTTGCTTTTAATTTGTAGAAATGTTTGGGAAAAAAATACTCAAAATGAACAAAAAGTATGGAACCAAGCTTTTTTTTTGAATCATTTGCCCCAGAAATTAATAATTAATAAAAATTGCTATAAAAATGTGATCAGAATTAAAATTTTGTATTGTTTTGGAGTTATGTGATTTATTTTTAAATGGCAACTTATATGAAATTTTTTTTCGATAAAAACTGAATAAAATGTTGTTGTAATCCTTAGATCATACCTTTTATAAATAAAGGTTTTGTAGAAGGTTATTTGAAAAAGTTAAAAATTTTGCAGAATTCAACAACAAAACAAAATTTCGAAAAATTTTATTCTTGAGAAACGTTTGCATTTTAATTTTTCTAAAAAATAGTCTTTAAGCAAAAAACGTTTGGCTTCAAACTTTCTTTTCACGTGGTATACCTACTTGCCTATTTAAAATATTTAATTGTATCGAAAAAATTAAGCTTAGAGTTGATACTATTGTTTACAAAATTGTTTTGATGTAACGACTAACGGGATTAACACATTATGTTCGTGGTTTCGATTTTGTGATTCTTTTTCGTAATTTTTTTAATCATTATTGATATAGACCTTTCTATAAAAGTATTTATATTTCTTTATTTCTTTTTGTTTAAATCTAAGTTAAAGTGGTTTGTGATTTTGAAATTAAGTTATAATAATGAATAAAATATAGATGAAAGATATGAAACTAGTTCATTTTTAAACCTTAGATCATAGCTTTTATAAAAAAGGTTTTATAGTAGGTTGTCACTTGAAAAAGTTAAAAATTTTGCAGAATTCAACAACAAAACAAAATTTCGAAAAATTTTATTCTTGAGAAACGTTCGCATTTTAGTTTTTCTAAAAAATAAATAGTTTTTAAGCAAAAAACGTTTGGCTTCAAACTTTCTTTTCACTGCCTATTTAAAATATTTAATTGCATCGAAAAAATTAAATTAAGCTTAGAGTTGATATTATTGTTTACAAAATTGTTTTTACAAAAATAAACCTTGATGTAACAACTAACGAGATTAACGTATTGTGTATGTGGTTTCGATTTTGTGATTATTTTTTGTAGATTTTAAGCATTATTAATATAGACCTTTCTATTAAAGTATTTATATTTCTTTTTTTTTTAATCTAAGTTAAAGTGGCTTGTGATTTTGAAATTAAGTCATTAATAATGAATAAAGTATAGATGAAAGATATGAAATTAGTTCATTTTTAAACCTTTTGTTTCTATATTTTTCAATGTTGCCAACTTCAGTTCAAAGTCACAGTTACTTTAAACAGAAATTTAATTGAACGCATGGTATTTTTTGCACACTCAGGACTCAAGTTGACTACTTAAATACGAGATTAAACATATTTTTATATTCCTTTTCGGTTAAAACAATAATTTTACTTAAAAATAAATTTAAACAGATGTACTTTGGATCACAGTTTTTAACCAAAAAAATGGTCATAGAGTATATTGCCATTAAAAAAATTAAAGAACTCAAAATGGTAAAAATTTTCTTCTTGAAAAACCGTCATATTTTTATAGCAGATATTTATTATCTAAACATGTTTTTCGAAAAATGAATAACTTTAACAAATAAAACTTGGTTCCTTACTTTTGTTCTAACTTCCTCATTTTGCAATTCCACAACAACATTTTTTATTATTCGTGCCTTTGTTAGCTGTTTAATTTCTGTAAATACAAGCCCAATAAGCATCCCGAAAGTGAAACATAACAATCTAAAACCCATTCTGGAATTCGACAAGATGATTAATCGTGGATTCCCGATCAGTTCTGGAAGTGACGCTAGAGGGGATGACGTTAACCTTTGCTGGTTGGAATAGGGCGAGCACACGTGGGGTGTGAGGTTGAGGGCTGAGGATGTATTGATCGAGATGTGGCCCCAGACTGCAACAGCTCCAGCGTGACTCAGCGGACCATAATTGCAATCTGACCGGACATCTTGCTATGCAGTATATTCACCCTCAGAAATTGGTTTTCGCCTGTTGCGTCCAAAACTCCTCTTGAAGGTTTCTAGCTCAGGTGGAGCTTTTCCCGGATGAAATCCGGATTTGCCCCATTTTGGTTTCTTTTACGACGTGAATTTGCCTCCGGAGCATCTACGATCTAATTGCACAAAATCGATCATCTAGGCGGTGGCGGATAGACGCTCGTGACGTCACCGGTGCTCATTTGGAGGGGCGCGGCGCTTGGTCCAAGCTTGAGCTGAACCAGTGTGTTTCTGCGGTCTTGGGAGTGAACCACAGGACCGTTGTTTCGTGTGTTTCAATAAAATCTCAGTGCAAGAACTACCGCGTGTGCAAGGTTCTCTTGGTGGGTGCAGACAGATGATAGTTTTACAGTTTGACCGGAAGTTGAGCAATTTCCGTTCAAATAGTGGCGCGCCTTAGTGAGTTCTAGCAACGACAACTATGAATTTGTCACGATTTGGTTCGATTGTACCAGAAATTCAATGCAGGTGTTGGCTCGGGGTCACGACATTGAAAGAAGTCGGGTCAAGGGTCACGCGTTTCGTGGTGGCTACCCTTCGTGGCGCAATTTGAAACGCGAGTCTGCGACGATAAATACTTGTTTACTCCTTTTATTAGAAAATAAATTGCTGGGGAAAAAAAGAGAAAGCACAGGATTTGGATAGGAAGGTTGATTCCGCTATTGCCTCACGAAAGTGTCACCTTTTCAAGTCAAACATATAATCTTAAGAGAAGTAAACATTCAATGTCACAACTCACTTCTTGTCTCCAGAAAAATATGATCGTGTTCAAATAAGGATACCACTTTTAAAAACACAATATAATTGTACAAAATTCAATATACCAACAAAGTTCATAACGAACCTAGATGTATACCACTATTTTTGAACCTTTTATAAGTCTTATAAGTTTTTTTAGTAATTTATTTTTAGGCGCAAAGTAGAAAAAATTGATTCAAGTACCCCTGTAAGTAATTTTTCAAAGGCAGATTACGTCCTTTTGCCCCACTATGTACAGCCTGTCTCAAGTTTTAGAGCCGGTCTAAAAATAAATATTTCTAATTGATAAAAAAATGTTTGCTAGTGCAAAACAATAGAGGATTATATAGACTTCAATTTAGTATTTTTATATTGCTCAAAATTTTTAGCGTATGTCAGTGAGACCCAAAACACTAATTTTGGAAAAAAAAATTTATTGGAATCTTTTCTACATGATAAAATTTTTTCTAATGGTAACGTCGTCAAAATTAACAAATGTAAAAGTTGATAGATTAACATTTTAATATTGAAAATTTGTAATTCTGATAATTTATGACCAAGTTTGGGATGATGTGCTGCTAATGCATTAACAATAGAACGGAGGCCTCACAATAGAGCTCAGGTACGTCATAAATGTCATTGCGGACCTTTTTCTTTTGTCAAGAAATTTTGGCCTGATCACCACCACCATAAATTAAATTAAATTATTGAAACTTTTAGATTTTCAATATTAAAATGTTAATTACTCAAAATCTATCAACCTTTGCATTATTCTATTTTCACAATTATTACTACAAAGTGGTTATAAATGATTTTCATCTAGCCAGCTGTGAATTTTCCATGTAAAATAAAAAATGCCGCTTTACGAAAATAAAAAATGAAATGTTTTAATTCAAAATTAAAAAATCACCATTAAGCGTCCACTTCGAAAATAGGCTATAAACTTTTTTCTTCCAAAGTATACATTATTATCAATTATTATTGGAAATTAGTTGAAACAATAAAAGTTTAATTGACAAGAATTTATTATTAATTAATAAGTGACACAAATGACAGATCTAGAGCTTTCAAAAAAAGTAAAGCGGCACAAATAAAGTTACATGCAAAAAAATTCCAAAGCTGGCTAGATGAAAATCATTTATAACCACTCTGTAGAAAAAATCAAGGAATTTTCTCACGTAGAAATTATTTCAATTAAGTGAATTTTTTTTCAAATTTGTTTTTATGATCTCACTTTCAAACGCTAAAAATTTTGAACAATATCATAGCACTAAACTGAAGTCTGTATAATCCTCTATCATTTGCACTAACAATTCTTTTTGTTTAGTTCGTTTGCCAGCTGGGAGATGCAAGATATCAAAGAAAAAAATTGTGGCTTTGCAAATTTTCTTTTCAGGCTACTTAGGATAGCCTGATTTTGATGAGTCGAGATTTTATTTTACAAAATGAACAGAGCAAAGTCCAACATGATTTCGACAAGCAATTTTTTTTTGTCTGATATATTTCTTAAACATAGTAAATTTTATCATTACTCATTACTCGTAAGGTTTTCCCGAGCAAAGTTCAACACATTTTAATTAGTCGCGTTGTCTGATAAAATTACAAAATGTTTAGATACAAGCGGAAAAGTGAGTTATTTATACGTATAATACGTAGCATATGGCATTTCCGATTGTGTGTTTTCTGGTACTTCGCCATTAAAGAGCCAAATTTTGATAAACATGTTGTTCTATGAACTCACTACAAAGTGTCCTACATTGGACCTCTCATCTAGAGATAAGCAATGTCGCATCCAAGCGTCGCAAAAGCCGTCCTGTCCCAATTTCTTTGAACCCATTACTGCATCCTATTTCGCAACCTCCCAGCAAACATTACCTTCCCATTTTATTAACATTAGCAATGAACCACTTATCAGGTAACCAACAAGATTACAACAGTGACGTAACAAATTACGCCGACCCAGTTCCTTATCAGCTTTCCTTATTTACCAGCCCAGGTGGGAGCGGAAGATATTCGGATGTTTGGTATTTCCATCCGGGGCATTATGCACGTTTCCATCCGTCAAGAGAACCCTTAGGGCCACTATGCCCCAGTGCGCGGTGATGGGATGCAACAGCTCCCATCGCAAAACCAAGGGCGGCTCCATACGCTACCACCGCTTCCCGGGGGATGCAGTGACTCGCGCCCGCTGGGTGCAAGCATGTGGAAAATACGTGCAAAACTGCTCAACGGCGCGAATCTGCTCCAGACATTTCACTGACGAGAGCTACGAAAGAGACGTTCAGCACGAATTGTTGGGCTTACCGACGCGCTGTCGCCTCAAAAAAGGGGCCACTCCTGATCGCAACCTCCCCACAGACTTCCTCAAGGAGGACACACTTCCCGAGAGTGCTATAGCCATCCTGCTGGCTGTGGGGCTTGTGCCTGCAAAGGCGCCGAGGCAGACCACGGGGGGCTTACCCCAAGAGTAAGTCGAGAGACGCGCAGCCCAATATTTAGTCGTAGGCGTTTCGCAAGCTGAATTCGAAGCAGCGACCGGCTTTCTAAGTCCCCCTACTCGGGCTATAGTTCATTTGCCCGAGGGTCCGTGACCGAGCGAAGCCGACCTACTTCTCAGTACGCTGATATGTTCGCGGGTCTTTGAGTGGGTCTGTCGTCAAACGGGCCAAATTCATGCACGTGTTACACAAGCCAATCTAAACAAATCTTTTCGAATGCATACTGCGACGTGAGTTCTTACACAAAACGTACAACACCCAAACAAGTTGCAAAATTTATCTTTTGTAAACAAAAATTATCAAATCAGTCCCGTTTAATTCCCACCACACGTTACCCACATCGATTTTTGTTTCAGTTTGACCAAAATGCAGATAATGGAGGACGTCCGGGAAGGTGGTAGTGTCCAGCCTTCCTCACCGGGACATGCGGAAGAGCGTGTCAATGAAGAAAGTAACAAAACGACTCCCGAACCCGAAGAAAACGGCTTTGAAGAAGAAGGCGACAATCACGTCGAAGCATCACCAAAGAAAGAAACGGAAAGTGAAGAAGTGAAAGACGAAAAACGCACAACCGAAATAGAAATCGGCGAAAACCTCAAATCGGAGACCAGCCTCAATGAGGAGAGTTGTAGCAACACAAGTTCAGAGGAAGCGTCAAACAAACGAAAAGCTGAGAGTCAAGACTCCGCCAATAAAAGACTGCGACTAGACATACAAGAAAATTTCATCTCACGTGATAAAATCCTCAATGAGTTCATCGAAATGTCCGATAGTAACACCGTGGAGCAGCTTCAGATGCAAACTGAACAGATTTTGGCCGAAATTCGAACGCTAAATGACCTAGCCAAGGAAAAGGAACGCGAATGGAACAACATTATCCACTTAAAGAAAATGAAGGAAGAGCTCTTACTTCGCATGCAACGCCGGAAACAAGTGATGTTGCTCAATAGTGACAGGAATGAAAATGGTGATGTTTATAGTGAATCTCAAACAGACAGTGAGCGATTAAAAAGTGCAAACCAAAGTATCCTAAAAGCGAATCTAACGAATCCTAACAAGACGCTCCGAATCCACAACTCCAACAAGCACCGAAATATATTACCAAAGCCTCAATATTCACAAGAAATAAACGGATCGCTTGACTTTAGACAAAATAAGCAACGACCTGTCCTCGACGTCCAATCCATCATTGCCGATTACCGACAACGACATCCAGAGATTGTGCCTCGGAGAGGTCGCAGAATCCGTAATTCCCACAATGACAGTAAAAACAACATTCTCAACTTTTCCAACTTGGCGCTWGGTTCTGGCGCTCAAGTCCACCAAAATGTAGACTTACAGAGCGAATTGGGAATTCTTCTGAACGCCGTGGATGGGGTAAATTCAATTAACCAGTTTAGAATTTTAGTAAATTGGTTTATTTCGCAGAATCGTGCTGACTCACGGCCATCGAGTGCGGAGTCTTCCACTACACATGAGCCTTCTTTTAAAGATATGTTGGTGCAGTTTGCCAAATTGTCGCAAAGCGAAAGACATGAATTGATCCAAAATGCAATCAAACCGCCCCCACCCTATCCAGAAGTGACGGTTCATCCGGTTCCCACAACCAACACTGTAGCTCCTACCAATTCACTTCTTCATGGCATTCTCACAAAGGTATTTTACAAATTCAATTTGTGCTGTTCTAATTGTGATTTTTAGAGTCCTTCAAAGACTAACACTAAAACATCGTTTAGTCCGACTTTGGCTCGTTTGCTCACCGCTCCGGAACGATCTAATTCGCATTCACCGACAGCAACTACCCTTCCTAATAATTTAAATAATGCAGCCAATATGTCTATCTCGGAAATACTTTCCACAAGCAAGGTACAATATCACTAGTTAATGAAAGTTACGGAATTATTTTTTTTTAGGCTAGAAATGAGATAACCATCACTCCTCTCGGTACCCAATATGAATCACCACAGAAGGGTAAATCACAGGTAAGTTGGCTAAATTTGTTAGTAAAACAATGTAATGGTGTTGTTAAGGAGGAGGAAGAGGCTGAAGACAGTGCTGATCGGCTCGTGATTGACGAAAGCAGTGAGGTGCTAGATAGCAGAGGTAGAGGTGATAACAGTTCTGATGCCGGAGACGAAGTACCTCAATGTCAGGGTTGTAATCAAAAATCGGCTCTCTTCGTTTGTGCAGGATGTGGGAACCAGTGGTACTGCAGCAGAGACTGTCAGGTAATTCAAATAGACTTTGTAAAATCTGTTCTAAAGACAACTTTTCAGGTATCTGCTTGGGACGAGCATTCTGAAGTTTGCTCCGGTTAAAAATCTGTACTTATTTTTATACTGCATGAAGTTATTTATTCTTTAAGAATTAAAATTCACACCAAATAAATTTGGTACCTGTATAGAAAAATTGATGCAATGAAATAGCATTCCTTGGAGAAGAAAAAATTCTTGCCTTGAATTCGTAGTGCTGTAGCTATTACGTCATGCATCAATGTGGCTTATTTTGTTTAGTAGAACCAAAGATACCCAAAGCTTAAATGATCATTTAATGCATTTTGCTACAAGTAGCGAGTCAGATGGCATTTAAATCATCCCAATTTGAAAAAAGTGTTACTTTGTACAAGAGAAAATGTACGTATTTATTACAAAATGCCAAAACATTTCAGTGATTCAAAAACACAATAATTATAGTATGTACTACTTAGTCAAAAATTTTATTTAGAAAAATCACAACCAATTTTGTTACCTATAAGTAGATTATATTTATGAATTTGTACTAGTCAGTTAAATTGTAGTTACCCAAATCAGTTTGCAATGTTCGTTTTATGTGTTGTGTAAGTGCCATTTATGTAAGGGTTGTGTAATTTTTTATGTTTCTATCATTTAGATTTAAGCAGGATTCTGTAAGATAAATACTGTGATATCCAAGAATGGATCAACGATACTTAATTTAAATTAAAGCCAGTATCTTTCATAAGCAAATTTGTGTTTTCATTTCCCAAAAAATGATGTATCTCCGTATTCTATTTTTAAGATCAGCACTTTGTTATTTAATCTGAACTAGGTGCTCAAATAAAATGTATGTTGTGAACAAAGAAGAAAATGTGAGCAAAGGTCACAACAGTGACCACTTTTAAGACTAAATGTCAAAGTTTTACCTTACAGCCATGAGTAAAAATTCTATTTTTGCGCCTAAGCGTTTTTACTTTTATCATGGCATTATTGACATTTACCAATGTTTTTTTTTGCTGCTTCAGCAATTTTTAGAATGGTAGGTACATTGTAGATCATCAGCATTTGACATTTCGTACTACTAACTGCACTAGTTAAATTAATAAACACTTTCGAAAATCTCAACACAAATTTTGATACTGACGCGTGATATTTGCTTATAAGCGTTATGATTTCATTACTTGCAAGGCGTCCTGATTACTTTATTTAATTACTTGGTAATTATAGTGTTGTCCTCTACTTTCAATCTGAATATATACGTTTGCGGATAAAATAGTATATGTTATTCGAAGTAAAAGTGAGTTTATGTGGCTCAGATGAATTAATTGCCTCACTACGTTCACCTTCGTCACATAAACTATCACTTTTACTCTTAATAACATAATATACTATTGCCATAATAACTAACCAAGTAAATTGTTTTAAAAGGTAATTTCATTATCCAGAATTAAACACTTAAATGTCACACAAGAAATTGTTTTTAAACTTCAAACAAAGAAGTTTTAGAGGAAAAAAACTTTACTCCCTTGGAAATAATTCTATCRCAAAGCCACAGGTTCTGTTTTGGTGTTAGACATAGTAGTTGCTTAGAAAGGGAAGAAAGTATTTTTTTCCCCGACAGTGGCTCGTCGTTGACTCCTGAAATAAAGCACTCAGTTAATTGTTTCATTAAAGTAAAGAAAGAAATAGAGAAGACAGAAAGAGCAAGAATATTACTTCCGCTAATGCAAGTTCAAATAAAAGTACAAATGTTTAATTTTGTCAATTTAGCAAAAATAATTATTTACATATCAATTAAACTAAGAAAAGATTTGAGTTTGTATTTTATTTATTTTTGTAATAATAAACCTTTTGAAATTGGGTCACGTTTAATTATTTGAGGCCACTCTTCACAAAGCTTTCCATTAAAAAATCAATCGTTGATTGAATAGTGACATGCATGTTATTATTATGTAAAAATTGATGAAAACATAGATAATTCCAAAAGGGGGACACCTGATGGATGTGGGCTAGGGTCAAGGTGTTGTCTTGGTTACAACCCCAACTTGTTTACATAGCACGCAAGTAATTGTCTCACTTGTAACATTGTTGCGGGGGAAATTCGAGGGTGACAGTGAAAGTTAATAAAGCGAGTTTAAATACAAAATGGACTTTATTTAGTCTAAGTTTAGGTGATGACCGCTGAGGAACAATTTAAATTGCTTGAGTGGTTTGTAATGGTGGATTATATCACAATGCACTTGTAAATTGCAAAGAATTACAAATGATCCTCTCTGGAARCTCTCGAGCGAACACTTTGTAAGTAGTTAAAAGTTTTTGTATTGTTTATTTAGACAGGAAAATGTTTGCATTACGCATGTTTTGCATGTTTATTTTCTCAACAAAGTATTTAAGAATTAAGTGCAGACAGAAACGAAGAAAAAGTGCATTTTAAATCAGTTGTTCCACAAATATTTTTCAATTTTTGTATCAACTTTTAACCAAAAAGTAGGATCTTATTTTCCGTTTTTGTTTTCTTTGTTAAAAGTGGATTAATTTAGAAAAAATATGTAGTAAAGTGGTATAATAAAAGTACAAAAGAAATCAAAGGAGAAATTATTTTGAACACAGTTTACTTTATTTTGTATTATGTAGACTTGAAGAATCAAAACCCAAAAAAAAATCATGTTTGCTCACCACATCCTAATAAATTATGAAAAAATTAGGTCAATTAAAAAAAAGAACAACCGGAACCCATCATATACGACATGAAACCATGTTTAAATTAATAAATGGTGGGTGCAGCTGTGATAAAGCACGAAAGCAAGATTTTGGTATCAGTTAAACAAAAACAAAAAAGGATGTTAAACCGCTATCTAAATCAACAACATTTTTTGACGCAGACTACTTCGTTTTTTAATTTTCCCAAAAGCTTTCAGGTAAGATGGGGGCAAAACTTAGCACAGGGGAAAAAATTCAGCCACAGGAGGTAAGATGGTTAATTTCATTAAAAACTGACAACATTGAACGGTCTAACAAAATGTTATGATTTTTCAGTTCTCTGAAAAATTTCAACGATCGGAATCAGAAGCCAGTGATGATTTTAAAACTAAACGACGGTCTACCACCGATGTGTGTTTCCTGATTTTTCTATCTGTATTTTTGACTGTTTTGGTAAAACTTGGTGTTATAAAATTTTCATTTGGAAGATTTTTAGTTGTGTTTTTTGGGTTACTGCATTTGCAATGGTGATATTTTCCGAATTATTAACGGCTATGATAATTGTGGAAACGTCTGTGGAAGGTACAATGTGATTAATCACGGGGAAATAAGGGATGAAGTCTGTCAAGAATCTTCCACTTTGTCCAAACCGTATGTGACATAAATGACTTAACTATAATCCATTTGAGCAATATTTTTTAGTTACCATATTATAATAAGAAGGAATGATTCCTCAGTTATTGAAAGGAAATGTGTTTCAGACTGTAACGATTATGTTGGATAGTAAGTTTAACTTTCATCAATAATTGAATTTGAATGCAGTATTGGTGCACGCAGACTATCAAAAATTAACTTGTGCTACTTATTCCAGACAAAATTATCGATTTCTGTTTTTTAGCCGAAAGTTCTTCACTAGATGTGTTCCTATTAAAAGTACTAAAGTGGTCAATACGTTTTTTTCAAAAACTGGAATAAAAAATTTCTTCCAAGTATTGTAGCAGTTGTATCAAAATTTTAAATTCACTTATTATCCATTTTAGGAAGTTTCTGAAGACTTTCATTTATGTTGGCTAGAATTTTTATATCTTTGCCTTATTGCTTTAGGTATGCTATAAATGATTTTTTCTAGTTTTTTCAATTCCAATTCTTGCAGCATTTTCGATTTTGATTTTGTTTTTGTTTCGATACGTGGTGGGAATAGTGGTTTGGGTGGTACTAATAGGTGTGGTACTGGCCTGCTGTATTGCCACAATAATTTTGTGGTAAAACTACAAATTAAATTATAGCATTTGGAAATCAAAATATTTCAGGATTTTATGGGACCAATCCAGAAACTCAAATCTTCCGGAAAATATGATTTCTGACGTTGACTTTCGAAAAACTGGTACTTATCTAGCATTTGCGATAATTGCCAGTGTGATTACCGTGATTGTGTTGCTGGTTATAATTGTAATGCGAAAAAGAATCGAATTGGTTGTGCAGTTGTTCAAAGAAGCAGGAAAAGCAGTGGCAGCAGTGCCTTTTCTTCTTCTACAACCCATTCTAGTAAATAGTAACACTTTGAGACAATTTCCTAAAAGAAATTTTTAGACTTTTCTATCGCTTGCTGTGGTGATCGGTCTTTGGTTTTATTTTTGTTTGTGGATTGAAAGTTCGGGATACCTCACTGAAAAGCAACCCCATGTTTACTATTACGAGAAAGATAAATGGATGAAAATTACCAGATGGTACAATGTGTTGGCTATGCTATGGATGTGCCAGTTTGTGATAGGTTGCCAACATATGGTAATAGCTGGTACTGTTTCCGATTGGTACTTTACACGGTACGTTTTTAAATTTCCTATGTTATTCAAAATTATTGGTTTTATTGTAGAAACAAATGTGAGCTTGGTACTCCAATTCTCAAAAGTGGGTACAATTTGGTCAGGTACCATCTTGGTTCAGTAGCGTTGGGTTCTTTCCTTATCGCTATAGTTCAGTTTATTCGAGTAATTTTAAAATTTGCTGAGAAGTATCTTCACAGTCATAGAGGAAAATTCATTGATTGTCTTTTAAAATGTTGTCAGTGTTGTTTGTACTGCTTCGAAAAAATTTTGAAATACATGAGCCGAAATGCGTATATTGAAATTGGTAAAAAAATTCAAGCATAAAGTCCCTAATAATTAATTTTTTGTAGCTATGTATGGTTACAGTTTTTGCCAAGCAGGCCGACAAGCATTTAAACTCCTTGTGGCAAATGTTCTTCGAGTAACAGCAATAAATTCAGTTGGAGATTTTGTGCTCTTCTTAGGAAAAGTCCTTGTAGTTGCTGCAACTGTGTTAATCGGAACAAAAATGCTACAGGTTTGACTCTTCCACATTAATTATGACAATAACAAATTAGTTACAGCACAAAGAAGGGTTACAGCACATGTGGGTTCCGTTAACCCTAGCTGGCCTTTTTGCCTATTTTGTTGCTCATTGTTTTATGACAGTCTATGAAGTAAGTTTGCGAAAATTATTTCTGGTCAATTTTTGTTTAAAATTTCTTGTAGATGGCAATTGATACGATATTTCTCTGTTTCTGTGAAGACTGTGAACACAATGATGGCATTACTAAACCTTACTACATGTCGCGAGGCCTAATGGAGTTTGTTGAAAATTCCAAAAAAGTTTTAGAATCGCATGATTGCAGACAAAGAGGAAGCCAAGCGTGGCAAGAAAAAGTTCCATCAATAAGTGATTCAGTTGAAAAGAAAATTTAATTATGTGATTGTGATTTTGTGCACAGTTGTGTGTGGTTTCTATTTTTTAATACGCACATATTTGTATGTAACTATCTATTTTAGAAGAAAAAAATTGACTATATTTTAACAACTTTTCTATATAAATACATTTTAGAGTGCATTTGCTTGTCTTGTTTTTTTCTGAACTACAAATAACATTGCTAATAGGGCAGATACAGTTAAACAGAGTGCGCCAGAAAAAATGTTAAAAAAATTCTATCTATAAAAATTTCGAAGTTATGAGAGTTATTTTGCACTTTGACTCTATTTATTTCTGTTGGAAAAATAATTTTCCAAGTTTTTTTTACAGTCCATTAATTTTGTATAAGGTTTTCTTTCACAGTTCCAAATTATTTTCAGTTAAACTTTTAAAAATAATTCAGAGATGGCATTCTGAATCAAGAAGAAATTGATTTTTCTCCTCCTAACTTTATTGACCTATTTTATTCGTGAATACATGTACTAATAAGAAAGACTTTGGCATTACTTTGACCGTCAGGTAGGTAGTCGGTAGGCTCATTAGGGTTTTGTTATTGTTGCTTTAATTGTGCTTAACTCTTGGGTCAAGCGTTACTTTATTTTTTCAATAGATAATAAACATACTTACATTATTTTTTACGATCTTAACAGAACGTAAATTTTCCACCCTAATTATTTCCCAGTGAGGTAAAATTTTATCTCCCACATGCTGCTAGATTTATGGTAAAACTGGGATATAAATTGTTGATTTGGAAGTTTTCTTGCTGGATCATAGGAAAAATAATTTGAATTACACTGGAGGAAAGTGACTCCTGGACAACTTGGAGGAAAATATATATTTCCCTTTTATTTTATTCACAGTCACATTTTTTTAAATAATTAAATATAATTATGTTTTCTTTGTAAAAGTTGATGCATAGTTGCTAACAAATTGAGTTTTGACATTTGATGGGCCTGTAATGCTTCATAATTTTTTTCTGACCACGGGATGTAATGACAAATTTCCCGACGTATTACTAGTGACTGAATTTATCAATCAGTGTTTTTTATATAGCTAGTCAAGCTTGATCATCGTGCCAAAGTCTTAATTAAGACAGAATTAAGCTTTTTATTTTCAAGTCCTAGCGTGCATCCTGGGGCAAAAGCTCCGGTGACCTGATTATCTAAAGCATTAACTACCACTCCCTAACTCAAGTCWAGCAATTTTTCAAGCGAGTAGCTCCCAACTTATTATTCCGAATTCATTCGCGATGTGACCTTCGACGATCTAAATATGCCAGCCTCAAATTTCAAAGAGTAGTGGTATTGGCGWCTGTTGCATAACTCGTAGTGCATTTGTGTTTTTCATTATTTATTGTGCTTTCCTGCACCTGGATGTCGCTTGTTTACATACAAAATTGAATCAACTTAAGACATATGAGCTTGCATAATTTTTACATCAAAAGTAATTTTGGTGAGYAAGAACATGAAATTTTTGACCAAAAAAATAAAAACAGTTTTGGTGTATTTTTAGGTGTAGAGTAAGATGGGAAACTCTAGCAGTATTATGAAGCCAGAAGAGGTCAGTATGTCAATTAATTAACTAATTTAATTCAATTCCTGAATTCTTGCTATTATTTTGTGTGTGAATTACGCAGCGGCGCTTTTAGAAACCTTGACTTTTTTGATCGTGTAACAGAGAAGCATAGAATTGATACATAGTTGCAGTTTTTTCATTAAACTATAATTTAAATTATTAATAATTTCATGAGCGCTTACTTAATTAATTTTAAATTGCAACCAAAATATGCTCATTATAACACCATACGAAAATATTTTGTAAATAAAGACATAAAATTTGTTTTCATTGCGTAATTAGCTAACAAGCTTTTATTCCCGTGCCATAAACATGCAAAACGTATTTAATAAAATAGATAACACCAAGCCTACCAGTGTAAAATCACAGTTGGCACTATTTTTAATTGTTTTGTTATCTGCTAGGTTCTGATTTTCCAAAATACATTTTATTAGAATTTGTGGTCTTTAAATATCTGGGATATTTTGGTCCGTTTATTGGTTGAATCATTATAAACTTTGGTTTATCATATTTTAGCTCATTAGGTTCCGAAAGTTAAATACGTCTTTTGACGATGTGGACATACCAGCTCGTCCTCAAAACAGGTCACTTACCGATAAAAAAGGATTTGTAATTTTTGGCATCTGCGTACTTCTTTTAGTAAGTAGTTGTTTTTTTTCTCGATTTGTTAATCACAAATCATTTTAGCTTCCCTTTGTTATCTATGCATTAATTAAATCAGACTCACGACACCTTGATTCCGGTTATGATGACTGTGGCAACTTTTGTGGATATGAAAACGAAAAAATTGAGGGAATCTCTTGTTCTGGAAAAGACTATTCCATGCAACCGTAATTTTTTCACTTAAAATTTTATCGATACCAATGGATTTATTTTCAGATTTTCAAATAAGCTCAGATGTGTTGATGAATGTCCCAAAGAAAGGTAAAACTTATAAACACTTAGTTACAATGATCATTTATTTATTTTGWAAACCAGTTTCGCAGGAATTTGCATCGAGGAAGAAACACAATTTGATGACGTTGTGGAGGTAAGTAAAAAATTCATTTTTTCTTTAAAATAATACAAAAGGGTTTTATTTTAGGAGGCCGACACAGGGTCGATTGTATGGAGATTCATAGTTTCTGTTTTGATCACAATAAGTTCGAAAATAATACCAGACTAGAATTTTAATCAAAATAATTTTTTTAGGTTTGAGTATTGTAGTACTGGTTCTTCTAAGATTCGCACCCGCCATTGTAGTTTGGACTTGTTTAGTTATTACTATTCTAGTGCTGCTTGCTATAACATTCTTACTCTGGTTGGTAGAATTGTTTTAAATGAAAAGAATATTTTTCACAGAGTTATAATTCTAGGTTCAGAGTTGCTACAGTGAAAGATTACAACCTGAATTTCGAAAAGTTCAATAGAAACGGAGAAAGGTTAGACGTGCAAACAACACTAATCGCAATAGCAACAATATGGACAATCATTGCCTTAATACTTCTAATAATTATTACAGTTCTTTTTAAGAAAGTTAAATTGGTAATACTTTTGTTCCAAGAAGCAACTAAGGCTCTTGCTGCAATGCCAATGTTGATGTTTGTACCAGTAATCGTAGGTTTTTTTTTTTCAGAATAAAACTGTTTTTCATTATTTATTTTTAAAGGTGACCATCGTGCAGTTTGTCATAATAGTGCTTTTCATAGTCACTTCTATTTACATTCTTGCTTCCCGACAACTTGTAAAATGGGAAGATGGAACCTACCGCTATGAACTAAATGGAGTAACAATATTCACCTTCGTTTTTAATCTTCTTGTGCTTAACTACGTTACACGATTTTTTGCTGGAATTAATTTCATGGTAATATCTGGAAGTGTTTCATCTTGGTTTTTCACCAGGTAACAATAAATACTCCTTAAAAGGAAATCTACCAAATGAGATTTTAGGAACAAAGAGTATTTGGGTTCTCCAATTCTAACAAGTTTATCTAACACATTAAAATACCATCTTGGTACTGTGGCGTTTGGATCTTTTCTTATGCTCTTATTTTCTTTCGTGAAGGCGATTATTAAACCTCTGTGCAGAAATTCGTGCTGTAGATGCTTGTGTATGATGTGCTGTACTTATCTTGATATCGTCTTCCAATTTCTCTCGGAAAATGCTTACATAGAAACAAGTAGGACAATTTATATCAGCTTTTAGAAATTTCTAACAAAATAATATTTCAGGCATCCACGGACAGTCTTATCTTAGATCGGCAAAAAGGGCCACCAAGTTGCTATTTAAAAATGCAAAAAATGTAATGGCAATTAACTGTGTTGGAGATTTTGTATTGGGAATAATTGTTTTTCTGTTAGCTATTGTAACATCGGTAATATCCAGTACACTGTTTGCAGTAAGTACGAGTACATGCATTTGATTAAAAATTTTCATTTTATGTTTAATAGAGTTCTGGATCGATATTTGTTTATGCCCCGATTTGTTTTATCGTCAATTTGATAATTGTTGCCATCATTTTTGGAGTAGTTCAGGTAACAACTCAGCGAGATTTTAAACAAACAAAGTACCTATATGAAAATAATTTCAGATTACAATAGATACTCTATTTATTTGTTTCTGTGAAGATTCGGTTATTAATGATGGAATTTCAAGACCGTTTTACATGACAAGAGGCCTTATGGAGTTTGTTGAAAACTCGAAGAAACTGTATGGCGAAAAATATTAATTATATAAATATATTAATATTTAGCACTTCACTATAAATTATTTTTTTTATAAAAGCGTCACAAGGTTTATATTTTTTTGCAGTTGTGTCCATAAGTCTACACATTTTTAATGTATGTATATTAATATGTATTAAAACATATTGGTCATATATTAACGTTTGTATAATAAAATTGTAATGTAATATGCTAAGGTAGGTATACTACTTACAGTAGCATCTCGTTTACCTGAAAGCCTATATCTTCTTACGGGTATAATCCGGAATAAAATATGTATTTTTTTGTTTATAGGTTGTTGTACTATCATCCCTTATCCTCCTCTTAATTAAAAAAAAAATTCAAATCATTTCTATGAAATTAACAATTTGGTTTTTGACTGCGAATGTGTTTGTCACATGAAATGTTTTCTAGTTTTATCTGGGCCATTTCGCCTTTATATGGGTTTTACTTAGCTTATCTTGAAAAAAAATTGACCCATTGTTTTCCACTCAATGAGGGTCTGGTTTTTAAGAAAACTTTGAAGGAAATCAATACAGACAATAAGGCAAAATAAGTTGTGTGAAAGAAATTGGTGATTTTGTTAAAAGAAAAAATAAAACAAAGCACGTAGATGAGGGAAAAACTCAAGGAGCTTGAAATTGAAAAACAAATTAATGTTATATTAAAAAAAAATAACAAAAGTCAATGTAATTTTAAGTATGTAATAATAATGTCAACATTACTTTACTTAGAACTGATTCAGTAATAATTTAAATCAAGTGTAGGACGAAAAAGGGGTTTGATAATTTATCATTTTATAGATTTGTTTTATCTATGTATAAGTGGATATGTAATTCTCCATAATAATTGTACATACCTAAACCGAGAGCTAGACTAAATCAATCTCGTCATCTCGCAGTTATCTATACAGGGTGCGCCAGAACTCGCGCCCCATAGAAAAATATATAAGGTAAGATACCAGGAACATGGAAAAAATGTTAAAAAAATTTTATCTATAAAAATTTCGAAGTTATGAGGGTTTAAAGTTTTGTACCTTTACTAAATAATTATAAAAAAAAATATACAAGATCATTAGTGTCATTAAAAATAGACACTAAAAATAGACACAAAAAAAATGTCAAATGGCAAAAAATTAATGTCAAAATATTTACCTATCAGATATGATTTTTTAAACATTTTTTATATGTTTCTGGTATCTTATCTTACTTGAAATTTTTATCTGGGGCGCGAGTTATGAGGTTATGACACACCCTGTATGTAGTTAACAAAAATACAAGAACCGCCAAACAACAAATTAAAATGAGTTTTTTATAATTTTTTGGATCAATTTCCTTTATAACAGTCCAACAGTAATTTACTAACATATTTGCATCCCAAAAACCTTTGTGCCGATCTTCAAAAATCCTTCAGATCTTGATGAAAACGCTAGCGCATGGTGCCTACGTTTTTAATCCAAATTTGATAAAATGTATTTTAAGACCCATTTAGGCCCATTATCTGGTGATAATTTTATAATAATTCAGCAACAGTTTGAATTTTAAATGAATTTTAAATCGGAGACATTTGTGCAGAAAGTGGAAAATTATCATTCGTAACAAAAAACTGTGACGTGATAAAAAAAATTAACAATTATTTTTGTGTAGTTAGAGGTAAATAAACATAAAAATAATAATTTGACTAAAGGTATATTAAACAAATCATTATTTGTAAACTAGTGTAATTTGTTAGCAGAAAGTAATTTTACCTGATAAATACTAAAACATCGAATCGTTGGTCACGGATATACTGGACTCGATGGCAGCAACAAACTTTCTGTAGATGAGATCTTTCCGGTATGCTGTAAAGAAAACGTAATCAAAAAAAATTATACTACGTTCATGAAGCTGTTAACCAAATAACTACACGTAATTATGAAAATTATAAAATAATTAATCGTATATTACAACCGAGGTAGGAAATATTTCACTATCTCGAGGATTCAGGTATATAGAGGAGGCCCAATGGTGTAATGAAATTCTCACCAAGTTTTGTATGTCATTTTATTTACTATCATATTTTGTTTAAATAATAAAATATCTCTGTTTCTAGTAAATTGATTGTGAATAAAGTATGTACAATTAATTTTGGTTTAGTATAAATTTGTAGCTTCACTAAATGAGTATTTTACTTAATAATTTGTAAATATATACATACATATAAAAAAGTACTCCTATCAAATTGAAAACAATATTTGACGTTAGAAAATATTTTGATATGATTCATTTGAAGCTGACTGTTTGTCACTAAATTATTTGAATCTAGAGACAGTTACAACGTGATTTCATCTGTAGAGGTAATGATAATGATAATAATGAATCATATCCTACACATTGTTGAATTTTTTATCTTAGCAAATATCAATTCAAGATGGAATATTTTGAAAAAAAAACTTCATAACTTTATTAATGAGAGAAATATACATAACGATTCCTATTTGAAGATTAATATGCTAAACTAAAGCAACTTCCACAACAGAAGAAAGCAATAATTTGGTGTTTCATCGTAAAACGTGAACAATTTGTTCATTTTAACAATTACTTCTATATGGTATCAGGCATTTCAGAATGATGCTAATCAATACTAATAATTGTTTTATCAACTTCGTCACTCAGAGATAATAGATTATATAGAAACATATATAATATATGAACCATCAAAAGTAGACAAAAGTGTGATATTGTTTAAACACTGTGTAGTAAGTAATAAGAAAAACTTAAACTTAAAGTTGATTGTTTATTTTTGCTTATAAAAGTGGTAAGCATCTATTTTTTATTTGAAGAAAGAAAAACGTTGTAGGGGTTTATCCATATTATTGATTTTTGGGCCTAAATTCGAATGTGCATATATTTTATATACAGAGTGAACCAAAAGTAAGGTTCAAAATTCATACTTTTATTATGGGTCAACAATTTTGTTGACTGTTTTTGGTAATAGGTACATTTTTCTCTCTTCTCTCTTCGAGAATTTTTTTTAAAAAAATGACCCATAAAATTATGAATTTTGTGCAATACTTTTGGTTCACTCTGTAATAATAATATTTGCACTTCACATGAATGTATAGAACTCGTGCACTAGACAAGAAAAGTTGGATGACTTGCTTATCTATAAAATGAAAGGCTAAATCACAAATCCTAGATTAATATTTTTGATAAAATTTTATAAAGTAATAATGTAAGTTTTCTACTTTTCAGAAAAAAATGGCTAATCGTCTAAATAAATTTATATTGTTGATGTGGAAGAATTGGACGCTTTTGCGACGTCGCCCGATTCAAGCAACTTTTGAAATTATTTATCCTGTACTAATATGTTTAATTCTTGTTGCCGTAAGAGGCTTAATTAATGTTAGTGAAGAAGGACCAAAAATTTATAACRCATTTAAACCGGAMTTGYGACAATTATGTAATTTCGAAAACTGTGGCAACATGTGAGTTACATAACTTCAGATAAAACCAAAAATGTACTAATACATTTCCTATTTTGATCATACAGTACCATGGCGTATTCGCCAAGCAGCCCTTTGTTAGACAAAATATTTGAAAATCTTTGCAATAATACCTCATATCCACCGGGTGTATATTTTATTACTCAGAGTTATGCGACTGCGGCTGATCTGGACGCTGCTATAGCAAAAAATAAATTTAATTTCGTTTTACAAATGGACGATTCTTTATTAGGACTTAATGACAGCAGCAATCTTCCCGATAACGTTGATGTGACACTACGGTAAGCTCGGGTTAATTACACATTATTATCAAGCCGTCAATAAATTATAACATACAGGTTTCCATCAGAATATTCAACAGGTTCAAGAAGAGAATGGTATACAAATTTAGTGTACCCAGTTTTTCAAACACCAGGCCCAAGAGATAGTGATGACGCATGGGGTGGAGATCCAGGTATAACATCGTTTACCGGTAAAAAAAAATAATTAAATAAAATTTTTAACAGACTACATGTATCGAGGGTTCCTCTATGTACAAACAATTATTACTGCAATATTTCTAAATAATGGTAACAGTGTTGATTTGAATCCAGTAGTGGAAATGCAACGTTTCCCCTATCCAAAATGGCTAAATGATGCATTTTACATTGATCAAATGGAAACAATGGTGTCGCTAATGATAATGATGAGTTTTATGTTTAACTACGTTAACGCTATTAGGGCCATAACAACAGAAAAAGAAAAACAACTCAAAGTAGGTTTCGGAATATGCAATTGTGACACTTAACTGTTACATTTTAAGGAATCTATGAAAATCATGGGTCTCCCCGGCTGGTTACATTGGGTAGCATGGTTCCTGCGTAGCTTTGTTATTTTACTAATAGCAATAATTTTAATCACTATTGTGTTGAAAGTAAATTTTCAAAAAAATCCAGTGTTTGTGCACACCGATGGAACCGTCTTATTCGTATTTCTTATACTTTTTGCATGCAGCACCATAACGTTTACTTTTCTAATAAGCGTGTTTTTCTCAAAAGGTACTCAAATAGAAGGTAAAAAATCTGTTACTGAATTATCATTTTTACAGCAAATACTGCAACTGCTGTGGGCAGTTTAGTCTTCTTCCTTACATATTTACCGTACACATTGCAGCAACAACAAGGTGATATAGTGTCTTTAGGTGCAGCAGTAGCCTCAAGTCTCTTTGTTAATTCTGGACTGTCTTTTGGCATATCAACTATGCTAAAATTTGAAGCAATTGAAGAAGGTAAATACGCTTTATGCAATCATAATTATTAATCAAAGTTTTGTTTAGGGAGTCAATGGAGTAATTTGTTTTCAACTGCATCCCCCGATGATAACTTAACACTTGGTGCATTTTTCCTAATGTTTATACTTGACACATTCTTGTATTTGGTTATTGCTCTGTACATAGAAGCAGTGTTTCCAGGCGAATTTGGAGTACCACAACCTTGGTACTTTCCTGTCACACGAGCTTATTGGTGTAATGATGTTCAAGCTATGGGTACGTATTTTATAATCCTTTTTTGACTTTCTATATCTTTAATTGACTTAGGTACTGAACACTCGTTTGAGAAGAAGGGAGAATTTTATGAAGAATTTACCGAAAATTTCCCAGTTGGTATACAGTTGAAAAATCTATCAAAAACATTTGGAAGCAATAGAGCAGTTAAAAATTTAAATTTGGATATGTATGAAGGACACATTACTGTTTTACTTGGTCATAATGGTGCAGGTAAAACAACAACAATGTCTATGATAACCGGAATGTTTCCACCTACGAGTGGAACGGCTATAGTAAGTGAATACGACGTTAGAACTAGTATAGAAAATGTTCGTGACAGTATGGGTTTGTGTCTTCAACACAATGTCTTGTTTGATAATTTAACAGTTTGGGAACATTTATATTTCTTCGGTAAATTAAAAGGATTAAGGGGCGATGAAATTAATGAAGAAATTGATCATTACCTCAAACTTCTCGAATTGGAAGATAAGGTAAATGAAATATTATTATGAACCATGTTAGTAAATTTAGAAATTTAGAGAGATGCGCGTTCAAGTACTTTATCTGGAGGTATGAAACGAAAATTAAGTGTCGGAATGGCTCTTTGTGGGAAATCTAAAGTGGTGATGCTCGATGAACCAACTGCGGGGATGGACCCTTCAGCGAGGAGAGCTATTTGGAACTTACTGCAAAAGCAAAAGAGCGGTAAATAGTTCTACACCTATGTATTGTCCTTGCTTATTTTTTTTTTATCCAGGACGAACTATTTTATTGACAACGCATTATATGGACGAAGCTGATTTATTAGGTGATAGGATTGCTATAATGACAGGTGGTGAATTGCAATGTTGCGGATCTAGCTTCTTCTTAAAGAAAAAATACGGTGCTGGTTATTATCTAATCATGGATACAACACCAAATTGTCAACCGTCAAGAATCACTAATCTACTGAAAAATTACATACCAAACATACAAGTCCATTCTCATGTTGGCTCTGAGCTAACTTATCAATTACCTGAAAACGAATCATGGAAATTTGAAAAAATGTTAGGCCAGTTAGAAAATGAAAGTACCACTTTGGGTGTGCAAAGTTACGGAGTATCACTAACAACACTTGAAGAAGTTTTCATGAAGTGAGTTACCACAACATAAATGAACTAAAGTGCTGAACATTACGCAATTTCAGAGTCGGTGCCGATCATGATAACCAAATTTCGAAAAAAATTAACGAAAAAGAAAGTGCAAGTATGATTTTCTTTGGAAATGTGAAAACTATCCTTGACAATTACTTTTTTAGTAAACGTGGAAGACTCTGGTTTAAGTAGTTTGAACATAAGCCACCTGAGTGGTTTTGAATTAATGAGAAATCAGTTCATAGCGATGGTTTTGAAGAAAAATTTGTCTCTTCTAAGGACWTGGTACTTGTTCCTACTCCAAGTTATTCTACCTGTTGCACTTTTAGTAATCACAGTTTTAAATGCCAGAGGTTACGAACCCAAAACGTCCTTCCCCGCCTTGAAAATGTCTCTAGATTCTTACAATGAACCTATAACACTGCTTGAAAATGGTAGTTCATTGGCTAACATATATGCAAAAGTGCTAAATGGGTATCCAGTAACACCTGTTGATGATCTTACAACGGAAATCCTAGATTTGGTATAAAAACAACACAAAAGTTCTTACATTGCAACCATGTATTTTTTCCTCTTTTAGACAAAAGACTCACCACCAACTGTAAAAAGGCATTACATTGTAGGCGCATCTTTCAACGACACAACGGCCACTGCTTGGTTTAATGGTGACCCTTATCACGCAATATCGCTATCCCTGAGTCTTGTTTTGGATACAATTTATAAAAGCAAATTTGGGGAGAAAAAATCCATTAATTTTATTAACCACCCCCTTCCACTAAGCCAGGAAGCTGAAGTTGGGTTTAGATTTATTTATAAAATGATTGTTATCAATTATTATTTTAGCTCCAAAACATGCAATTTAACGTGATGGTGTACCAAATAGGAATGGAACTAGGATATGGAATGGCGTTTGTGGCTAGTTTCTATATTTTATTTTATATCCGAGAACGAGTTACTAAATCCAAACATTTACAATTTGTTTCCGGTGTAAATGCTTTTGTGTTTTGGGGAACTGCTTTTCTTTGCGATCTAATTACATATCTAATAACAATTATCTTTGTCCTAATCACACTTGCAGCTCTTCAAGAGGACGGTTTTAAGACACCTGATGAAATAGGTAAGAAATCAACATGTAAAGGTTTATTTTATATAACTGATATTGTTCTAGGTCGCATAACTTTAGTACTTGTTTATTTTGGCTTTTTTGTTTTACCATTCGTTTATTTAACGTCGTACTTGTTTAGTATTCCATCCTCCGGCTTTTCGAGAATGATGTTGTTAGGAGCAGTTTCTGGTAAATTGAAAATGCTCTAAAACTTGTTTATTTTTTTTTTCTACTTAGGTATTGTTGGGATTACGGCAATGCAAGTCTTGGAAATTGAAAGTCTAGGTGTTTTGTACGTAGCAAGACCTCTCCATTGGGTACTTCTTTTTGTGCCTTTCTACACCGTTGCTAAAGGTGCTTATGACGTGGGTTCAATAAGTAGTTTAAGAGATATTTGTCTAAAAAATGGTGCAAGTTATGAACAAGCTTGTGTGGCCAACTCAATGTGTTGCAGTAAGTTATTAATTAAAAATCATTTGGTGGCACTTCAAATAGCGTATCATTTGCAGATATCGATGACTATTATTCTTTTGGTAGCCCTGGTATTGGGCGAAATATAGTTGTTTCATTTCTCATGTCTTTTATCCTCTTTGTTGTACTCTTGGTCAACGAATACGGTTTCTTCAGTTACATTATGAACAAAATTGTTAATTACAACAAACCGCCTCTTCAAAACGTAGCTCTCGAAAGTGATGTACAAAAAGAAAACGAAAAAATCAGAAATACGCCTGAAAACGAGCTCACAGAAACTTACTCGCTCGTCCTCCGGGATGTAACAAAATATTACAAGAACTTCCTCGCGGTGAATGGCCTGTGTCTAGGTGTGAAACCTTACGAATGCTTCGGGTTGTTGGGGGTGAACGGTGCTGGTAAAACTACCACTTTTAAAATGATGACCGGCGATGAGCAAATCTCGTATGGTGAGGCTTGGGTGCAAGGACATAACATAAAAACAGAACAAAAAGAAGTCCAAAAACTGATCGGTTATTGCCCCCAGTTTGATGCCTTGTTAGATGATCTCACGGTCAAAGAAACCTTGCTGATTTTTGGGCTCATCCGAGGAGTTCCTTTCAATAAATGCATCCCTTTGGCCGTAAACCTTGCTCACGAGTTTGACTTTTTCAAACATATCAATAAAAAAGTGAAGGAATTGAGCGGAGGAAACAAGAGGAAATTGAGCACGGCTCTTGCCTTGATCGGGGATCCCCCAATTATTTACCTCGACGAACCCACCGCAGGAATGGATCCGGCGACAAAACGGTTTCTATGGACCGCTCTTGCTAAGTTAAGAGATCGGGGGAAATGTATCGTTTTGACTTCACATAGTATGGAAGAATGTGAAGCTTTATGCACAAGAATTGCTATCATGGTTAATGGCACTTTCCAGTGTCTGGGATCTACCCAACGGTTGAAAAATAAATTTGCTCAAGGTTATGCCCTGACGATAAAAGTGAAAAAACACGCCGATAAAGTCTGTCTTGATGATGAAATTTCCGTTATCGATAGGTTTATTCAAACACACTTTCCGGGAGCTGAACTGAAAGAAAAGTATCAAGAGTTGGTGTCGTACCAGTTGAATAACAATAATTCCTTAACATGGTCAAAAATGTTTGGTATTTTGGAAAGAGGCAAGAAAGATCTCAACATAGAGGACTATTCGTTGGGACAATGCAGTCTAGAACAAGTAACAGAAGTCAAAAATAATTTGAAAATTATTAATATAAATTTTGTTTCAGGTCTTTTTAAGCTTTACAAAGTATCAAAATTAGTATTCGGCATTTGCCAAGAGAGGACATAGATAATTTTTAAAATTATATTTATTATATAGGTAATATATTTTTGTACTGCAACGTACGAAATACATGTTTTTGTTTTAAACGTTTATTTTTACTTCTATCACCCACTGTCTGATAAATTTGTTATCTACATTGATGTCGAGATAAATACATGTGTATATCTCGTGCCATTTCTACCACCATTCTGTCACTCTACATAATATTGTTTCTTTATTAAACAAAGTTTTTAAACTCTAAATTTGTCAGTAGGGCCCAGTTGTAACACAGATTCTTTTTTTACGTAGAAAAGTTTGTAACTTACTTTACCTATGAGATAAAACACGATTCTTATATAACTAGTACTGTATGTAGAATTAACAAGACAACAGCCTGTACAAAGCGTTTTGACCTGGAGGGACTCACAGTTTTTGAGATATGAATTGTTTTAAAAAAAACTAAAAATGGCTCTGTACCCGGAGCCATAACCCGGAGCGACTTCCGGTTTGCGCCATTAAATAGATAATTTGAAGCTAATTCTAATGGTTTYTAGCTTTTTGCTCTAAGTCCTATAGTTTCGTAGAAAAACGCGTTTAAAGTTACACAATTTTTACAATTTTCACTTTTTGAACGGCGATTACGGCCAAACTATTAGACTTAGAGCAAAAAGCTCAATTCCATCGTAATCAGCGTAAGAAAATCTATCGACTGAGGCCAAAGCCTCGCAAAAAAAATTGAATTTCTAAACGCCGATTACGGCTAAACTAAAGGAGATAGCGCAAAATGCTTGGCAAATTCGTAATCAGCGTGTCAAAATCTATCGGATAAGATAGGTTTAAATTGAATCTGAGACATGTTCAAAAACACTAGTTTTTAAGGGGGGTTAACAAATTTTTACTTTTTTTTTTATTTTGTAAATTGCGGCAAAACTGTGTCTCAATCGTATAATATTTTGACGTAAGCCTATGTAAAATGTTCCGGGGAATCGAATGGCGTCAAGAAAACTGCAAAATTCCTTATAGTTTTGAAGTTGAAGTTATAAACGGATTTATATTTTTGATATTTTTGACTTTATCAGAAATTTTCTCGATAACTATTCATCGTAGAGCACTGAACTTTTTAATATATGATAGAAAACTCAATTTTCTATCCAACGGTACCAAATATAAGAGGTTATCTCCAATAAGTCCCGAGTTATTGCCATTAGACCACTCCGGGTGCCAAAAATCGACCAAAATCTCGACAAAAATCAAAAAAAAAATTAACTTTAAAATTGATCTATTTTACGTTTTTTACATTTCTAGAGGTCTTAAGGACTCAAATAAGTGCATAAAACGCCATTGGGTCAAGTTTCAAAAAATTTTAATTTTTTAAGTTTTTGAAGGTGAGCGGTAGTAAAATCGTAAAAATAGTCAATTTACTAAAAATCGTAAAAACGGTTGAAATATGGTTTTCTAGACGTAACATTACTCGCTGAACACGATGCAACTAGTTAGAATACTCTACGATGCATAGTTTTTGAGATATTGAGTAATAAAGTTAAGAATAAGGCTAAAAGTAAAAGCACTATATCCGATTTTGACCAAAAATCAACATTTTTTGATTCTTATGAAAAACTAGTACTATACAGGTACGAGACAGAATATTTCGAAGTAAGTAAATATACAGAGTGCGCCAGAACTAGCGCCCCAGAGAAAAATTCCATATAAGGTAAGATACCAGGAACATGGAAAAAATGTTAAAAAAAATTTATCTATCAAAATTTCGAAGTTATGACGGTTTAAAGTTTGCACTTTGACTCTATTTATTTCTGTTGGAAAAATAATTTTCCAAGTTTTTTTGCTATAGGCTATTAAAAGAGGAAACAAAGAAGCTGTATCCTAAATTGTAACTCTGTTCAATGATATTTGTGGCTTTTATTGGCAAAATTTTTGTCCCTTAACTAGATAATTGTAAAAAAATATACACAAGATCATCAGTATCATTAAATAGATATAAAAAAATGTCAAATGTCAAAAAGTAAATGTCAAAATTTTTTGACAGATAGAATTTTTTAAAKATTTTTTTCATGTTCCTGGTATCTTATCTTAATTGAAATTTTTCTCTGGGGCGCGAGTTCTGGCGCACCTGTATGTAAAATTAACCGGAGAACACGCCTGTACAATTTGTTTCACCCTAAATCACCTTAAAAACTGTTTTTTAATTGTAAAAACCTATCTAAAGGTGTCTCCTTTCTTAGAAGCGCCTGCGTACTAACCCCATCGATCGATTAATGCAGTTGTAATGCGGAAGATTTATATTTTCGTTAAAAATCAGTAAAACAAACAAACTTTGATCAAAACCCGTCATGTCGACGTAATCTCGCATCCACACATTTATAAYTCTTRGAAACCGAATCGGTAAGTCATGTCAAATCAAGCACGACGTACCCCCAAACACCACATGAATAATAATTAAATCGTTTCATTCCAAATTGCACAATTAATTACGTTGACATGTCCCGCTTTTAGGTTACTCCAATGGATTTTCTCTGACGATAAAATGAGTCTTTTGCAAGAATTTGGAAACTCTTGCGTCCACTGGTCGGTGGGTTTGACGGTCCTCGTGGGCCTCATCGCCTCAGAACACTCCGGTGCCATCACAATTATCGCGTTACCGATTTCGGCGATATTCCTAACATTATCAGGTTTGTTTAATATAGCCTAACAAAAAGAAAATATTTTTTGTAGCATTATGTGGGGCGTCCCTAAACCCGACCGACACATACAAGAAACGAAAATTATGTGATATTTTAGACTTTTTTCAAATCTGGATGGAAATTTTAGAATTTCTAGCTGCATCAGCTACCTGTGCTAGGATTGCTAGTGCTACTATAGACTATATCAGCAATGAGAAATTAAGAGAGTGGTTTCTAGGGATAGAATCACACTCGTTGGGCGAGCCCTGGCCTGACATTTTAGGCGTTTCTATTGTTATTGTTGTCATTGGATTGTTTATGATGGGGCTTGAGGTAACAAAACACAAAATCGCTCATTTTTTTGTAACAAGAATTCCAGAAATCGCCCTTTTTTACCGCCCTTCTGTTGGTATCATTGTTAGTCACTTTTGGGTTCTTCGTTTCGGTTGGCTGCTTTGAAACCGTGGTAGATTTAGCTAAATGGAGCCAAGATTTTAAAACGTGTACTATACAAACGGTACCAGCCAAGAATTTTACAAATCTTAAATCAAATTAATTTTTTGTAGATACTATCAGCGGCAGCCATGTGTTCATACGGTTTCAACAGTTCTTATCAGAAAATCACCAGACACAAGTTTGTCAAAATTGTAGTAATGGTGTTTTTCCCCTTATTCTTGTACAGTTTTGCCACCATAGTTTTCACCCTGATGTCGCACTCCAAGTACGAAAATCCCRAAATTTGGCACTGCTTACTGGATTTTTTTAAGGGAATTGGCTGGAACCGCGACCCCTATGTTGCGAGTTTTTGAACTACGAGACGTGGATTGGGCCCGTTTGGTGATGTCCATTTGTATGATTTGCACCACATGTCTGGCCTTGACTGAAATTTTCCCGTCTTTGTATTCGCTGTTTGAGGTTTTGGCGAGTAAAGAGTGGCAAATTTTTTTAGCGTCTTTGAGGTACCGGAACTCGTTTACGGGGGCTCCCCTACTTGCCATTTTTTCAGCAGGTATTTTCCTTTCACAATTTTGAAACTCTAACCCAGGTTTTTAGGTAGTCTGAGTGCCATTTTGGCCTTCGCGTGTCCTTTGGCATATCTCATCAAAATTTTAAACGTTTCAACTCTACTAAAAGCCATTTCGAAATCACTATTGGTGCTATATTACTACTACCGACCCGAATTTCGAAACGAGTCTTATCTAGTCGCTCCTAGTATGACTCAATACAGCAAACTACATTCGAAAAATCAGAAAGAAACCAATTTGAAAAATAAAATTACGGGTATTATATCAGGATGGAAGAAGAATGTCTCGCCCACTAGTGCCAACAGAAACCGGACTCCAAGTTTGTGGTTTCTGAAGCGTTTAAACCAAATTTTTGATTATTTTTGTAGAAGAAGGGACGACTCAAGACGATGAGTATTTGCTCCTGAATGAGTATTGTGATAAGTCTGATGTTGTTTTAAACGAAGTCAGTTCCGATGATGAAGAGAGAGAGTCAGTGGTTTCGAGCGATGTTGAAGATTCGTACAGTTCCACCGATGTTGATACTGCTGTTCAAGAATACAAAGACAAAATTCAAGTAATTTTCATTAATTTATTGTTTTAGTGCAAAAAAAAATTGAGCCGAGTCAGGGTTCGAACCTCAACTTTTTGGTTTCCACCACTGTATTTCTCCTCAAAAACATAAAAATATAGTGAAAAAGATTTAGTTGTTATTTATTTCATCAGAACAGTCAAAAATTTTGTAAAAAAAAGTTGGCCAAACCCGGGTTCGAACTTGCACTTTTTGATTTTAGTCAAACTTCTGTTTCAATTCTTGCAATTTTAGGTGGCAACGATCGACAACTTTAACGAAAACAAATACCCGACGTACGTGACAGCAACAACTGTTGTTATATTTTTAATAATTATAGCTATAGCGACAATAAGTTTATCGCAAGTGTTGACTTGGAAATTTTACAGTTTATTGTGGCCATGTTTTACGGGTTTGTCTTGAAATAAAAACACTGCAAACGTAAAATAATCATTTCTAGTTTCGGTGTTTTCGACTCTTATTATTTTAGTGATGCCACATAATTTGTACCAATCGGAAAACGGTTTGTTACCTAAATCGGTCACTCCATTGTGCAATCTAATTGCGATTCAAGTGCATATCATTTTGGTGGCCACAATACTGCACGAGGTTTGGCCGGGAATTATTTTTTGGGTCAGTGTTGGTAAGAATTCAGTAAAATTTGTGTTTTTTTTATTCAGTCATAATTTTTACAGGATGTCTGCTTTTCTGGCGATGCGATTGTTGTACCTGTGATGGGCTGTTACCTAACAATAATCAAAAATCAAAACTAAATATTACCGAAAATTTCACCGACAATTATGTGGACACGATTTTAATCAGTAGATGACAGGACTGTGACGATTACCACGACGCAAATTTTATTTTTGAATCAGATGATGAAAATAATTGAATTTGTATGTGATTTTGTACCGTTGCACTATGTCGGTGTAGAAATTTTAGAGACATAGAAGAGTATTAATTGCAATAATGTGCAATAAAATATTTGCTTAAAAATTGTCTTTGATTTCAAAATACTAAACAATTATGTAACTCTTTATGTAAGTGGCGGCTCATCTTGGGCCCCCTCTTTGGCTCCAGCAGGGGGGCACGAGAGGAAAACAGTCAAGAATTGAGTGGCCAAGTGTTCACACTGTATCAAGGTACGTATTATTAAAAAATATAAACATTTAAATTTTATTGTAAGATTTAAACTCATCAAGTCATCAAGCATTCGAAATCGGGAACTTTCTCCACGACTGGACACGTAATCCGCAATTAATTTTTTTAAATAAAACCAAAATTATTTAATTCTTTGTTATAATTAAATGACGCAAACATTTTTAAAATTTTTTCACGTGTTTGTTCCAAGATTCACAAGAATTGCAAAGTGCTTCTTGTATTTTCACTTTCAAAACCAAGAAAAATAAATAAATATAATTAAGACGCGACATTAAAAAAAATTAATTTTAATTAAGATGCGATATTTTCCCGAATTTCGTTGATCCAAAAAGTGGGTTAACCATAATCTCGTCCTCTAAAACCTGTTTGACGTAACAAGTGGAAGTGAAACTTCCGGATTTAGATAAGATTTATTTTTATCCCGGAATTTTCCAATATTGAGAGAAAGTTAAACTGATTTTTTCCCCCAGATGCGAGTGTTCGTTGTGTCCCTTCTACTGCTTTTCCCACTTTCCATGGGTCAATTTTCCGAATTCAACGATTTGGAACATGATGATGTACAAAAGGCAGCTGCTGTCGAGGATTTGCTTCCGCCCCATTTAAAAAATCCTTTTTACCAAGACCCTAGAATAAGGGCCGCTTTGGCCAAAAATTCGTGGTTTGGGCCTGGAGAACGGCCAGTGAAGCAAAGAGATTCGCATAAGATTCCTCGGAGGGAAATTTTCACGGTTTTGAATCATGCTGGATTCTTAGCACAGCAGTAGTTTTAATTTTTGTGTCATTTTTACCTTGTTAAATGTGTTGTTTTTCTGTATTAAATAAAAAATAAGAAAATTTCGTGTGTTGTCATTTGAGTGACACTGAAAACGTACACCTTAAAATATAAGAAAAAATAATTAAGGGAATTGTTAAAAGAGGTAAATCCACAAATTTTTAAGTCATCAATCGAAAAAATTGGAACCCGATAGTAAAACTAGGAACATCTAAATCCTAATTTAACAACAAATTTACACCAATTTAACTAATTTAGAAGTAACAACAGGACTGCAAACTACAAATAAAAAGGGGATTTAATTGTAAAATCAAATCTAAATAAGTAAAAAATAAAGCGAATCTAAATTGACAGCGGATTCAATTCCGAAGAGATTTAAAAATTTTAAATAGTCTATTAAATAGTGACTTTAAAAAATTACGAAAGCGAATCAGTTTTATTTAAACTTTGGATTGGATCCAAATTCGAATCTAAATGCTTTGAAATATATACAAGGTGATTTTAGTAGTGCATCAGAAATTCTAAGAGATTTTAGCGACGAAAAATTAGAGAAATAAATAATGCAATATAAACGCAGGTAACATCTTTTGAGTAATTTCTTGCAAAATTCTCGTTATTTTTTTTAATATAAAGACACTTTTTACTATATTTTAATTTTAATGTTTTTTTAAACAATTTAATAGATTTTGAAGAACAAGTTTAAGACTGCGCACCAAATTTAAATTTATTCAGAGAACCCTCTACAAGTATATTTTAAAAACTAGTCGAGTTATTTTCGCTTATTTTGTCCTTTACTATCACCTCTTAAAATTTCTGCACAACTTTTGAAATCATCCTGTATATTACTGCAAAATTATAGTTTTCAAAAAATAATTTTCTTTAAAAATAGTTTCAATTATTATTTTTTTTTAATTTTCTCACATTTTTTATTTATAATTTGGTAATTTTACCCTCAAGATGTTTGATTCAAATAAAATTGTCACCTGTAATAAATTACTTTTTGCGCTTGCAAAGACCTTCTTCAATCCAGCCTTATCTCCCATTTCTTCTGCTCGAGATAACAATCAAAAAAGGCCAGTTTTCTCAGTGAGCCACAAGCAGTGCAACAAAGTGCAAAATGTCCGACCCGAATGACAAAGAAAACAGCTCAAAAGCGGTGGAAAAAAATCCCAAATCGGCCCCTGGGATTCGCGCTGCCCTTTCCAACCTCGAAAACGTCCTCCCTCCAAACACCCTCAACGTCCGAACTACCCAAAAATCCACCACCAAATCGAGAACAATTAAAACAACTTCAACCGAAACGAAAATACGCTCAACTTCGGCGAGTGAAGTCGAAACCAAAGTGCAGTTCTCAATCAAGAAAGAAAACATCACCGAGCGACAAAATGGGGAGTTTAACATAGATGAGGTTTTCGTCGAGGGAGAGTACCACTACCTCAATTACGTCAAGCCTGAAGAAAATAAACCAAAGACAAAATCTGAAGATTTGGCCAACAAAGTTGAGCAAAATTTGCCGGTGGTGAGGGTTACAGCGCCGACTTGTGAGAGGAAAGTCGACTTGAAGAAACCAGCGAAGAAGGAGACTTTGAGGAGGCTCAGCAACAGACGCAAACAAACCAGTAGTACATAACAAATAAATGACAAAGTCTCCGAAAATAACTTGATTTGTTTCAGATTTGGAAGAATTGTTTCGGAATTGTTTGTACGAGACAGAATATTTCGAAGTAAGTAGATATACAGGGTGCGCCAGAACTAGCGCCCCAGAGAAAAACTCCATATAAGGTAAGATACCAGGAACGTGGAAAAAATGTTAAAAAAAAATTATCTACAAAAATTTCGAAGTTAAAGTTTTTTGCTATAGGCTGTTAAAAGAGGAAACAAGGAAGCTGTATCCTAAATTGTAACTCTGTTCTATGTTATTTGTGGCTTTAATTGGCAAAATTTTTGTTCCTATACTAAATAATTGTAAAAAAACATACAAGATCATCAGTATCCTTAAATAGATATAAAAAAATGTCAAATGTCAAAAAATAAATGTCAAAATTTTTTGACAGAATTTTTTAAACATTTTTTTCATGATCCGGGTATCTTACTTTACTTGAAAATTTTATCTGGGGCGCGAGTTCTGACGCACCCTGTATAGCTCAGTGTGACTCACTTCCGGTTAATTTAGGGCAACTTCCGGTATATGCTTCTACAAGAAGGTAACCACGTCTACCGCAAACTAATTTTGAAAAAATCAATCGACGAGAACTACAGAATGCTCGTCATCAATTGGCTGATTTACACCCAAGTGAGACATAACAAATTTCTTCTACAACTTGTCAAATTTTCTTTTAGCAAGTGTTGGAATTGGCCGAAAACACATTCTTCGTTGCTGTCAGAATGTTTGATTTTGTTCTAGCTTCGTCGAAAATGACCGGAAATAAGTACATTTTAGTCGCGATTACGTGTATTTGGATCGCTAATAAAATGTTCGATGTGCGTTTAATACATGTAAGTTATTTGTATTGACTATAGCAAGTTTTAAGTTTTTTTTGAGATCCCCAAACTGTTTGCTTTATGCAACGGTAAGTTTTCCAAACAACAATTCATTTCAACTGAGAGGGAAATCCTGAAATTGCTCAAATTCGATGTGAACATCCCTGAACCGACTTCGTTTCTGTTTTATTTTCTCAAGTTGGAAAATTTAGAGCTGGACTCGGTGAGTTTCACACAACTGAATTTTCTTATTGTGGTCACAATTTTAGAAAATTTGCTACAGCGCCTTGTTTCTGCTCGAAATTCTCACTCTCCTATTGGACTTTTCTTCTCTTCCGCCCTCGTTTCTCGCTGCTGTGGCTTTTTATTTAATTTTGGTGAAATACGAGCTTGATACTGAATCCCTTTTGGAACGGGTGGACAAGTACTGTCTGGACAAAGACTTGTTTAAGAAGAAATCGGAACAACTTGCACTTTGTGTTGAACATTTGTTGCAGGAGAAAAATGTGAGCAGTGAAATTGTCGCCAAGTATTCGACCGAAATGAGGGGCCAAGTCGCTCGCAATTTTTTACATTAATTTAATGTTTGTTTTAATTTTAGACCATTATTATTGATTGTGATGTTTTACCCAATGAATTTTAAATAAAATGCTGGATCAATTGAAACTTTGTATTATTTTAGCCTTTTCACTAACGACTTATTATTATATCGCCCCTACTGAATATACAGAGTGGAACAATAAAAATAATAAACTATTCAATTTCCTTCGTAAAAACATTCTTTTGTTCTTTTTTTTCTAAACTTTGATAACTAGTCAATAGAATAACTAGGTTAAAAATAATACTTGTTTTCAATTTTGTGAAAAATAATCTAATTTTTAAAATGCCATATAAGTAATTATTTAAATTTTTTGAAATATTACATTGTTACTAAATAATCAAAATAAATAATAAGTAATTTATCAAATCAAATAAATCATATGTAGCTTGGTCGTCAATGTCGTAGTATAATAAGCTACTTTAGTGCCGATTTTAGCTTTTTTACTGACGATTTTATTACCTCGCCCCAACTGAATATAGTGAATAAAATAACTAAGTTAAAAATAACACTTTTTGTTACATTTTGTGAAAAATATTCTAATAAATTGTCAGATAAGTAGGTAATTATTTAAATTTTTGAAACATTACATTATCACTAAATAATCAAAATAAATAATAAGTATTTTATCAAATCAAATAAATCATATGTAGTTTATTGTAAAAAAAAATAAATAAATCTATACAGGCACAAAAAACTAAAAGGCATTTTGTAAGATTACTTAAAGTTGCATATTTTATTTTTAATCACAAAATAATTAAGGCAAAAAAATACAGTCAAACTCAAAAAAAATGGTCGTCAATGTCATAGTATAATGAGCTACTTTAGTGCCGATTTTAGCCTTTTTATTGACGATTTCATGTAACTTTTGTGACGATTTCGGAAAAAAATATATAATAAAAGTACAGTCTATAATAGTTTTTTTTATTTGCTTGTGGGGGTAGTGCGAATCAAGAACACGCATTTGTTAAAGTGAGATAAATAACGTAACCGACCTTACGCAAATACGTAGGGAGAGAGCAACAGGGCTGTTTACAAAAGTTGAAAAGAGATAGCTATCTGGTATGTCATTCGAATTATTAATTGATCTACACGCATAAATAAAAAACAGACTACACATTAACTAATTGTTTAACTAAATCACATCGAAGCATTAAATCTAGCACAATAAAGATGAGATACACAGGAATATAAGTTTAAAAAATACACAAAAAAGAAAGCTTATAACGAGATCAAAGGCAACCGTAGACTACTAACATGGCAATTTTTCACTTGTCAGTCTTTTCCCAGCGCTGCCAACCTTGACACGCAAAAGGTCTCTAAAGCATAGCCGCAAAATTCAAATTTTGATAGACATATTTTTTTAATCTAATTGAGTTTAACCAGTTGTTTTGTTTTATACATTTTTTTAGTAATATCACAATATGATAATTTTTTACTTATTTATTTAAGAAAAAGAGATATTTAAAAAATAAAATTCACTTTTCTTTTACAAAACCGGGAAGAATAAGGATAGATAACTTTAATTTCAATTTGTATATTAAAATTCATGTTTTAATTATTGTTTAAAAGGAGTTTATAGGACAAATTAAAAAATAACACTGAGATTCCAAATTTTGTTTACCTAACTAAAATTAATAAATACACCACATATAAATGACATTTGTATAATCTCCAACAGATACGTGACTATCTGTCCACTTTACTCTTGTTTTTTCAAATGTGCGTCGTGATTCTAAAAAATCAAATAAATTTCTCCAAAATTACGAACCCAAAACTCACTTCTTTAACATTTCCGCTCAATCTTTGCCCCACATAATGATACCTCAACTTGACCTTTTCCTTCACTTTGTCCGGAATGACCATAATAATCGTAGCAGTGTTACCAATGAACAAAATTAAAAACATTAAACTCAACACCGGCACCTAAACCACAAACCACATAAACTTGCCAAAACGATAAAAACTGTCTTACATGCCAAGTCGACGTGGGAGAATAACTCAACAAATACAAAACGTATGCATTATACAACTGAAACAAATATCCAAAGAAGAGAAACGGTAATAAAAAGCTCAAGCCGCGCCACATCCACGAATGGAAACCCTCGATCGTTATATCCATGTTGTGTCTCTCCCCTAAGGCTTTCAATCGGTACAAAACACCGCTCTGGTACCTGAATTGCAAGTATTGGACAACACCTGAAAAATTTCGCTAAATTATTGCCAAAACTCGCAAAATAATTACTGATATAAGCATTAAACCACATGAATTGTGTCCTAAATTGGGCCCAAGTCTCCGTATCTGGCCAGATTAGTAAAATGCCAGCGGCCACAGTTGAAAGAAAGTGGTGCAAGCGCCACCAACCCTTAATTCTCGAACCGTTCACTTTCAAAATGCTTTCTCTGATTGTGAGAGTGCAGTAATACCACACCAACAAAAATATAAAACTCAACTCTAACGGTCTAAAACGCACTGAAAGGTTCAGTAGGGACATTACAAAGCCAATAATGCTCAAAATAAGCTTGAATTTCTCATATTCGTCCTTATATTTGAACCTGGAATTTCAAAACTAGCCCAAACCTTATTATTTGTGACTTTTTACTTCTCTTCTTTGTTCAAAATCGAGACATTAACATTTCCTAAAATAATTTTAAGATAAACCCCATTTTTCCTAGGTAGAGTTTGCTCAATCTCATGCAAGTGGGCCACTCTTTTAAAAATGCTCTCTTGCAACTCATTCACTTTCTCCTTATATTCGGGTTGTTTACTCAGACTGTAAACGAAATTAACCAAAAACAAAACAAATAAAACCTACTTACTCCTTGAGTGCTTTCTGAATAACCCTAATTCTGTATTTTTGATGCTCAATATGTTTGAGACACTTCTTCTGATACGAATCMAGTTCTTCCAATTTTTCCATGTAAGCTTTATTCGTGACCTGAAACAGGGGGGCTGTAATATCGTAAACAATCGCCGGGTTCTAACCTCCAATTCCTTGAAGTCGGACGTAAGCTCGTCCCACTCCTCGAAAARGCTGTCCTCCATTCTGATCACTGGYGAAATACCGGGAAAACGTTTCGAGTGTTAGARTTTCATACATAAAATCGGTTTGATTGACTTTTTAACCTTTACATTGAAAAAACTGATTCGACTTTGACATTTGAGAAATTTGACAATTTATCAACTGGTTGCCAACTGTGCATACGTGTATTACTGGTAGCCGGTGCTAACAATTCTAGCATTTTCTGAACGATAAGAAACTAATTGATTACGCTATTAACTTAAAACGCATTATTTTTATCAATTTTACGGGTGATAATTATGTTGAAATGGGATTAAAGTAATTAAAAACAGATTTGTAATTGAATGTTGGCCATCTTTGTTTAGTAAATTTCGGGTTTGCGTTGGCACTATTGACACTTCTTTGTGAAGTGAGAGACATTTGTGTATGCTAGAGAATTTTCTAGTTACTTCGGAAAAAGTGGAAAATATTTCCTGAATTTAAGCCAATTTATGTAATAAGTAATTAATTATTTGAAGCTCTATTGTATGGCGAAGTACTTCTAAGTGTTTGGAATTACCAGTTTCGTGGCGTTTTTAATTATGAACTGATTATATCCGACATGGCTGCTACCAGAAAATTACAAGGTAAGGAAATAAAAACTCCGTTTAGACACGTTTACCCTCATTTTTAACACTTCCCTCACGTAGAACAAACAAAGCGGATGGAAAGTGGGTCACTACAGCTCTTTTTTTTCCACATTTACAATTTTCCGATTTGAAGCGCGAAAAACAACGCGTGGAAATTCGGGTGAAAAAGTCGAGTTTTGAACACATTTCGTCTAGATTTACGTTTTGTGGCGTGGTGAAAACCAATTTGAGTGTTTTTCTAGTTGTCAAAATAAACCGTTACATATGTTATAACCTGTCAAATTCGTAACTGAAAAATGTGTTTTGTGTCTAGGAGAGATCGATCGATGTCTCAAAAAAGTCACTGAAGGTGTGGAAACGTTCGAGGATATTTGGCAGAAGGTCCACAATGCGACAAACAGCAACCAGAAGGAGAAATATGAAGCCGATCTCAAGAAGGAGATTAAGAAGCTGCAGAGGCTTCGAGATCAAATTAAAAGTTGGATAGCTTCCGCTGAAATTAAGGATAAAAGTGTTCTTATGGAAAACAGAAAGTTAATAGAGACTGTAAGTGTGCAAGTCGTTTGGGTGAATGTTCATGGGGGCTGTTTTAGCAAATGGAGAGGTTTAAAGTGGTCGAAAGGGAAACTAAGACGAAGGCTTACTCTAAAGAGGGATTAGGAGCGGCGCAAAAGCTCGATCCCGCGCAAAAAGAACGGGAAGAAATCCAGCATTGGTTAGTCACGTCCATCGATTTATTAAATATCCAAGTATGCGCCCCCTTGCTCTCCCAATCCGCGCTAAAAGTGTGTTTCAGACGGACTCTTTTGAATGCGACATCGAAACGTTGTTAGCAAATAAAAAAAAGAAACTCGATAAAGACAAACAGGAGCGAATGGACGAACTAAAATCGCGGTTAGAAAGGCACAGGTTTCACATACGAAAATTAGAAACTTTATTACGTATGCTTGATAATATGTCGGTGGAAGTTTCGCAAATACGGAGGATAAAAGACAACGTCGAATATTACATAGAATGTTCGCAAGAGCCCGATTTCGAGGATAACGAATTTATTTATGACGATATAATCGGATTAGATGAGGTTGAGTTGTCGGGAGTGGGGTTGCCGTCGTCGGCGACCACCGATAGCAACGAAACGGGCGGAACACCAACTTCAATCATCTCGGGCTCGTCACCTGTGACCTCGCCGGCGCTAGGGGGGCAACCCTACACCCATTCCAGTGATAGTTCAAATGAAGCCGATAAGAAAACGATTTTTAAAGACGCTCTTAAAGTGAGTATGATAAGGGGTCACAGCGGTTTGTTTTTGTTTTGTTCTGATTAAGATAAATACAGGGTTACTCAAAAACAACTTTGAAAACTAGATAACTTTATTACTACCTAGCTCGCTTTGCTTAAGGAAAAATACTTTTGTAGCCTGTAAAGCCGACGGCTGTCCGAGCGACGTCCGCCATGAACAGCACCAATACCTCGATCCTGAGCTATAGTTGCAATAGTACGACCTCGACGCCTAGTAGCAAAKCAGTTCTAGTAAGTAGTACTCCCAGCAAGCAATCGGCTCGAGAGGCATCACCGGTGGCGCAACTAAACTCGACCGGAAACTTTGCAACAGTTGCTGCGACAACAACAGCATCGAAAGTGACCGCAAGTAAGACGAAAAAAAACTCGTTTAATTTTTAAACATAAAATCAAACTTTTTAGCCAATGGGGAACCCGTCATGTCTTCTGTGATAACTAACAATAATCAAGTTCAAACGCAAAACAATACGGCCGTCGTTACGTCGTCGCATACTCAAAATTCGATAAATGCGCACGTAAGCCACCTTTGAAAAAAATAATTTTTTCGTAATTCTCCGATTTGTAGCCGACGCAAAACTCAAACTCTGTATCTCAGAAATTCATCGAACAACATGTGCAAAATAGTAGAATAAGTCCGGAACTTAATAACAGTAGCAGAGCATCACCGATGACTAATACGGAAGTACAACACATACAGATGATGAACGGACCAACGACCGAAAATAATAAGGTAATTGTTTCGGATGGGACGCCTATGGAATGAGCAATAGTCAATGAGGAACGAACTGGTTGTCATGGAAACGTAGGTGTATCCATGACAACGACGATTTTAAGTCCATAGGCGTCCGCAATTTTTTTTACCCGAATTTTTTATTCCGTTTTTTTAGATTGCGGACGGCATGTCGTCTTTGAAAACTATGGCGCAGCAAGTGATCGACCGCGCGGGCTTGGAGAGCAACCAGCAGGTGATTTTAGAGGCGAACAAAATTCACAATCAGGAGAAATCCGACGCGCATATTCCCCCCTTATTGGGGGTGGCGCCTCTCGGTACGATACCGCTTCAAAAAGAGCACCAGGCGCAGTTTCAGCTCATGGAAGCTGCCTATTATCATATGCCACATCCATCCGATTCCGAAAAAGTAAGAACTTACTTGCCAAGGAACTCATATCCAACACCACCTTATTATATACAAACACCATTACCACATTCCGATACCGTGGAATTTTATCAACGTTTGGCGAACGAAACATTATTTTTTGTTTTTTATTACATGGAGGGCACAAAAGCTCAATATTTGGCCGCTAAAGCGCTTAAAAAGCAAAGTTGGAGGTTTCATACGAAGTATATGATGTGGTTCCAGAGGCACGAAGAGCCGAAGATTATTAACGAAGAATATGAACAGGTAAAGAATGTGGGGGAGTCGAAGACAAAGCTGAAGTTTCGTTGTTTGTTGCAGGGAACTTACATTTACTTCGATTATGAAAAATGGGGCCAACGAAAAAAAGAAGGATTTACCTTTGAATATAAGTACTTAGAGGATAGAGACCTGAACTGAATAAAGTATTTAAAAATAGTTGGCGAATTTTTATTTTCGGTAAATTTGGTTGTGTTGTAAAGTCCAGCTGTTACTTTTTACTAGCAAGTCAATATTTGCTTATGTAAATAAACAGTTTTATTAAAAGCCACAAAATGTTCCATGATGTATTTGAAAACATACTGTAGGAGAGTGCTACACGGTAGGAAACGTCAAAGGTTAGTGTCTTTCAACTTTTACCATGTAGAATTAAGCGAAATAAAATGTGAAACTGACTTAATATTTCACTGTTCTTACTGGGTGTTGCAGGATTTTGAAAAATTTCCCAGCATTTATTTGATAGTCATATGTATTTATTTACAAAAGCTTATGAATAGGATACAAAATTCATTCGGACAAGCCACTATACAAAAATACTTTTCGCATAAATATAAGTCTCAGTGACCGCAAAATCACACGATACGAATACAATACTGGTAGTTATATACATAATTTTAACAATTTTTGTTCGAATCAAGATCCTGCAAATAGCAATACAAGATCCCTGCTTGCGCCATTACGTCCACCGTTTCGGCCGAAAGCGTATCTTTCGGCCTATTCTGATTGGCTTTAAAGCCCGGTCTTAAAAGCGTCGGCCCGAAAACCGTCGCCAAATTATGCAACGACATCTTATTATCCTCTTCGTGTTTATGTACTCGAATTAAATGGTCCAAAATGAACTTAATAATGATTTTATTTTGTTGCGGAAGCTTGGCGAAACACCCTTTCAACAGCTCGATACGGCGAGTGTAGTTTCCGTTACTTTGGTTAAATGCCTCTGAAAGAGCTGGATATAATTGGTCGGTGAAAAGAGCTTCGGGAAGCTCGCGCAGATATAATTTTAAAATGCCGGTTACGGAATGGATATCGACTTCTTTCAACAATTGTTCGGCTTCATAAGAATCTGAAAAAATTGTATTGAAAACGATGAAATAATACGTTATTTTGTAATCACTTGTTTCAAACGATTTTTTCAGCTTGGAAATATCCGACGCGGAGCCTGAAACTCGGTACAAACCAACTTCTGTCATCCCTCGCCTCTCCACTTCCTTAATACAAGCGGTGATAATGAACGGAATGTCTCTTTTCTGTCGCCTGAAACAATTTTAAATTAAAAAAATATATATTTCAATGCATATAACCTACTTGCAAACGATTTGAATTTTCTCCCCGAACAGCGCCCCATTTTTTCCCGTCGGCAGTCTCCGTAGACTCACGACACACGGAATGTACGTCAAACTCATCCTCAACGTGGCCCCATTTATATTAAACTTCTTTTCAACTGGCTCAGACCTCAACCAACTCCGACTCAACTTCTGCGTGTACTTCCCCACCAGTGTATCATTTGAAATCGCATTCATTCTATATACCAAAATGCGTAAATTCTCGCACCCTTCGAGGTCTATTACGAATTTTTCGCCCCACGTGAACACGTTCGAACTCTGAACGGCCTTGGTTTTGGCTTTTTGGAAGAAATGGCCGTAGAAATCAACCTCGAACACCACGTACAACTCTAAAACAACAAAATTAACTAAAATCGATCACTAACATTACCCACCCACCGCAATTATACTCAAGACCGGTTAATTCGAAAATATGCACGTGTAAATCCCCGACTAAGAGACTTTCATCGTGGACACTACGCAGCAGATACGACCCCATGTTTGTCTTCAAAAATGCCCGACATGCAGTTATCCACGTCTGTAACTCCAACATACTAAAATTGGGTGAAGGTACCGGTGGTTTACCCGTTTTCTGTAACGTTAGTATCGCTTCGACCCATTGGGTGCGTTCAAATTCCGACGACAAGAAGAAAGTGTACATTCTTCCAGTTTGGCGGTTTTTAATACGAAACGGTAAATTTGGTGAAACTAGAACTAATTGACTTTCAAGTTCCACTAGGCGTTTTTTAAACTTGTCGGAACCTCGACTGCTTCGTATTTTCTGCAAAATTTTTCATGTTTTCTCATAAGAAACATGAATTGACTCGACTCACCTTATCTTCTAATGCTTTTTCTTCTTGACGTAATTGATCTCGGACATTTGATGCTTGCGATTTAAGACTTACAATGTTTGGTACGGTGTTCTCGGGGTGATGTTGTGGACTGCTTTCACGAAAAATAATTATATCTTCCACCGGAATGAACCATTTTAGTTCGAATGTGTATTTTTCAGTTCGACCAGACGGCTAAAAATTCTCAATTTCATGATTTTCCCAATTTTTTCCTCTCTCACCTTATATTTCGCACACGCGATGACGTCATTAAATAAAAACAAATGCCGCAATTTCCGATGACCGTCTGGGAATTCGACAATAAAGGAATTTTTGACAAGCCGCCTTTGCGCTCGATCGGACACCTTGAAAGAAGCATTAGCGAACCTTCACACATGATTACGAAAACTTACAGGAAACATGGACTTGGTCTGAATCATATTAAACTGGTCAAGGAAACCTTGCGTCAATTGTAAAGCTTCAGAAAGGCTACCGTGATCGGGATGTGTCGCTTGGAGGGAATTCAACAAATCGTGCAAAACCAAAGCGTTCTTTTGGACTCTAGCCACCGGCTTGTGTAAAATTTCCTCCAAATTGTTCGGCTGTTTCTGGAGATATTTGCAGGTGATGTTTTTGGTCACGTCGCGAAATTGCGAACTCGCCTCGCAGCACTTTCGCACAGTGTCCAAAGCGCGGCCGTAATTACTCAAAAACGCACCGTACAATTCCAGATTTAAAGCCTAGAAAACATAATCAATACTAATATAATTCGATTTAATTTCAAGTACCAAAGTTTTGAAACACTCGCCCGTCTTGCCCGAATTGTCGTTTTTCTCCACTTGACTTTTCAACTCTTCAAGAAAGCTTGAATGCAAACCGTACAATTCCGGAATCTTATAAAAAATCGTATTCAATTCAGTCTCTGTGATAATTCGTTGCGATGTCGTCAAAGTTGCTTGAATCGCTTTCATGTACTGAAAAATTCCAATTAACGCAAATTCATTAATTAATCAATCACCACCTTCATTGACACGCTCAACCACTCCACGTACTCCTCCTCGCTGCTTATAATATTTTTTAGTATGCATTTGTACCGTGAGTTTTCAGTTGCAGTCTCAAGATCCTCCTACAAAATTGAATCGAATTAAATTTAACTAAATTAATTAATTATTACGGGTTGAAATTTCCGTCTGCTGTGGGGCGTTGATGAATCCAACGAACTTGAACTTGCGTACGAACCGTTGCTGCCTCTGTGACGTATTTCAGTACCTTCCTCATCACTACTACTATGTCCGTTATCGTTCTGATTGCTTGCCCTAAATTAAATCAAATTAAATCAATTGTATGYCAATTAGAATAACGCACTGTATGAAGTATTCAATATTGACGTAGTTTGAAGCACTTGGTGATTGTGACCCTTTTTTCGGCATGAGGGACGCCTGTGAACTTAAAGTATTTTCAGCACTTGAATTATCACTTTCAGGCAGGTTGAAGTCCTGATCTTCGGGAGCAACAACGTCGTAGTAGGGCTCCTCGGGCGTTGATACGCGCTCTTCAGGCTCGATTTTCTCTTGTATACTGTTATTTCTACTAAAATCAGGCTTTACTGGTATCCTGAAAACACACAATTAATTTCGTTTCAAAAATATCAAACATTTTACTTTGGTGGTGTTTGAGTGCTAGCTGACGGTTTCAAGCCGTTGACTTCGATCACCGTCACGAAAGAACTCGGGTCTGGCATTGACAAATCAACTTCTTCACTTTGTTCCGCGTTGAGTTTCGACAAAACATTTGAAATCTCAGTCACGCACATATTTGCGGAAAACGTTTCAAACTCTTCCAGATTCAACCCGGAGGGTGCACTCTGCAACAAACAGTCGGAAAAAGTCCTCAATAACCAGGGAAATATTTACATTTGATACGTTATCAGCTGTGACATCACCAGTTTCACTCTTGCTTGATTCACCGTCTTCTCCCGACTCTTGTTTCTTGTGTTTTTGGATATCAAGGAGCAGACGTTCCAAATACTCGACGTAAATCTCTTCTTTGCGGACTTCTTCCTTAAACATCGACACTTTCTGTTTGTGTTTAGCCAAATTCAATTTGACATGTTCCTCCCATGCTCCTGGTAGCGGATTGTCAGGAAACCTTTGCAACCACACTTGTTGAAAATCGTTAAAAACACTCATTTTTGATCAATTCATATTAACTAAGAGCTTCATTTAATTTAATTACGTTAAATTATTGGTACAAATAGCAAAAACACAATTGACTGACACAACGACATAACAGGGAGTTGATTTATCTTCACTCATACTGCCAATGCAACGAAACCAAAAGCACTAAATCGTCTCTCTTTAATTATCAATAAACCACTCAAATTAGAAAATTTCGACCACAAACACATGACTTTGTCAACTAATTTCACTATTAATATAAAATTCGCGTTAAATAACTTCCAAAATTTAGTAAAACACATTTGTTTATTTCTCACTTGTGGTGGTAGCCCTGCTGACATTTAAGGTTATGCAATTTTGAATTTTGTTGTTTGCGAATTAACAATTAATATCAGATAAATATCCTTATCTTTAAACAAAATTAATTATCACGATGATGATATTAGCGTTAATAATGTGGAAACATAGCCAAGTGAGTGCGAAGCCAGATCGATAAGAAATCAATAAAAAATGGCTCAAAAACAATGAAAACTGAAACGGTAGACGAGGAACAGCCCCCGGAAGAAAATCAACGAAGAACAATTTTTTATGTAAGAAAGCCACTCAGCAGAGCGGCTAAAAAGAGACTAAAATATGTAGGAATTTTTTTGTAAGTATAATTTAATTAGCGAGAGTTATTTAATTATTTAAAGCGTTTTTCAGACTTGCGCTTATCATATTGGGTTTTTTGTTGGTATTTGTAGGCTTTCCACTGATTTTTATGAATTCTATTGCCCTACAGAGGATTCTTATATTCACCAATTGTAAGTTTAAGTCAATTTCAATCACYAATTAATTGRAGTTTGTAGGGAATTTACCGAGCAAAAGCAGTTATTTTGAAAAACACGAACTTTTAGCGGGTTTGAGAAATTTTTACGTCTCGGTGCACGACTTGAACAGTGAAAAAATAATTTCGTTGGGTGTCTGGCATTTATTACCTTACATATACGAAGAAGAAATAATAACAGAACCCCAGTTTGATTTCGAGTCTGCCCTAAAATCCAACTTTCGAAATGTTTTACTTTATTTTCATGGTACGGGAGAAGATAGATCGTCGTCGTTTGGAAAATACAAAAAATTTCGTGAAGCCTTCCATGTGATAACATTTGATTACAGAAGTACGCTAAACTTGTTTTATTTTTAATTTAATCGAGATTTTAAATTAAAGGCTACGCTGACTCAGCCAAAGCCGAATTATCGGAAGATGCTGTTGTGAATGACTGTCTCCAGCTATACGAGTGGCTTTTGACGAAAACCAACGCCTCGATATTTTTTTGGGGCCACTCTTTGGGCACAGCTTTGGCGACTAGGACCGCCGCGATCATCCGATCAAAAAACATCACTCAGCCAATCGGTTTGGTCCTTGAAGCCCCCTTTACGAAGATGAGCGAGGAGTTGTATGTACACCCTTACGGTAAAGTAAGCCCCCACAAAAAAAAACAAAAAACAAATCATTTCTTTGAAGTAATTTGACACGTATGAATCTCAGTCAATGTTACAAATATTTCGAAACTGTATAGGTTCTGGAAAAAATGTTGTATGCCACTCATGATTATTTTACATTTATACAAACGATAAAAATGTTTTTAGATTCTTGTCTCAATAGTGTTTTTTTGTATTTTTTTTTAGATTTTCGCCTGGTTGCCATATTTCAAAGCAACCGTGATTGAACCGTTGCAAAAGAATGGTTTTATTTTTGACACGAGTAAACATATTTTAAGTGTGAACGTTCCAATTATGATCCTCAGTGCTGAAGACGATAATGTTGTTCCTTACACTTTTGGAAGAGAGGTAAAACCAATTTTCCAAAAATTTGATTTTCAATTGTGTTTCAGTTGTATGAAATTGCGAAAAATAATAGGACGGGTGTGAAAACCACATTTTATTACCAGTTTGCTTATAATCTAGGCTATAATCACAATTTCATGTACCAAAATTATTTTTTTCCGTATTTTATCAAGTATGTCAAACATTAAATTGAATTAAATTGAAAATAAAATTATTATTTCAGTTATTTTCACTATATTTGTGTGACTCTAAGTACAAATACGACGGATGTAGCAACTTAAGGTAATAAAAATCGACAGTTGAGTTTGAAGTTTGTTGCCCCCAGACCCCGCCCTATGCGCCGCCTCTGCTCATCCCATAAAATCCTGATGCTAATATTGATTTATCTCTTATTTTATTAATCTTTAATTCGGGATGCGCACATTTCCGGTTTATTTTCTACGAAAAAATAGCAGTTTGCAAAAATTGGCAACATTCTCCTTCTCTCGGTCTCCCACAATTCGCATGGGAGATTTCCGCAGACCGACCTAACGTAATTAAATATAATGCACTTTCTAAAATATATAATTAATGTACGTTTGGGTTACGTAAACGCGACAAGAAAGTGATTATAACGACGAAAGCATCAGTTCGGTCGTAAGGTTTCAATTAGATTTGTTATTTTTGTGGACGACCTCCAAGAATTTGCAAAAAGTGACAAAGCGGGAATTTTAAAAATCGAGGCTTTGTGCAGTGACAGTTACGTAATTTTGATAGTTTCGAATAAGTAATAAACATTAATTGCTTAATATCAATTCAGCAAAAGCATGTTGGTAAGTTTGTGCAATTTTGTACTGATATTTCCCATCGGTTTCTTTTCAGTTTTAACCATTTCTTGCGAAAAATAGACACAATACGATGGGCAAGTCGAAAAAATGCCTCAAAGGGACTTGTATTTATCTGTACGTATTATAGAAATTCACTTTGCGATATATTAATTGATTTGTTCCAGATTTGCTCTCTTGCTCCTTTTGTTTCTCCTAGTTTTTGTGATAATTCCGGTTGTGTTCATGTTGAGTGTAGAAATTCAACGAAACATCATTTTTCCAGTTTGTAAGTATTTGACAAAGTGCGCGAATGAATATTTTTTTTGTGTTTTTCAGGGTCAACCGAGAATGCCAATTTTTCCGATATTGAGAGTTTCCATTTAAAAGGAGTGAGAAATTTTTATGTAACTGTTGATGATAAAGAAAATGTGACATTAGGAGCGTGGCAAATCCTGCCGAGCAAATTGTTGAGCAATGTTGTTGATAATCACTACTACAACTACGAGGACATTTTAGCCAATAAGAATTACAGTATTTTGTTGTATTTGCACGGAAATGGCGGCGTACGATCGGTTCCATTAGAACTGTACGCGATTTTGAGGAAGTATTTTCAAGTCATTGCGATTGATTATCGAGGTAAGAGGAAATGAAGAAAGCCGGCAACGGCGCCTATTTCATTTCAACCTTGTGGTTGGCAACACTTGTTTTTTAACAGCTACATTGGTAGCACTGATTATTTAAAAAAGCAAATTTGTGATTGTCTTTTTTCAGGTTACGGCGACTCGACAAAAGCCGAATTGACAGAGGAAAACATCGTCCGCGACATCGTCAATTTCTACATATGGCTTCGGGGAAAAACTCAGGCTCGAATTTTCTTCTGGGGCCACTCTCTCGGCACCGGCGTCAGCACTCACACTATATCAAACCTAAAAGTACAAAATCACGTTCCCTCGGGGCTCGTTCTCGAGACACCGTTTTCGTCAGTACCTGACGTCATGGAGGAACATTTTTTTGTTAAAGTATTTTTTCCGTATTTTATTTTTGTTTAAAAAAAAGACGTTTTTTAGTTTCTATCATGGCTGCCTTGGTACAGGCAAACCATGTTAGATCCGGTTGTGAAAAACGGATTCGGATTCGAATCTACGAAATATGTCGTAGATGTCGATTGCCCAATCATGATCCTGCATGCCAAAGATGATACAATTGTCAGTTACCAGTCAGCGACTAAAGTGAGATTTTAGCTCCGGTAAATCCATTTCCTAATAAAAATTTTTCGTAGCTTTATGAAACTGCCGTAAAAAATAGAAATTTTACAACACAGGGAAATGTCACTTTCCATTTGTTTGATGAGTCAAGGGGCTACGATCACATGTTAATTTATTTGGCCCCGGAATTACCGACTTATATAAGGTTCTGATTTGCCAACTTATTATTTCCTCTGTTAATAACAAAAATTTCTTTTTAGTGAATTTATTGATGAGTGTATCAAGTTTGAACAAACGTTAAACCAGACCCAAGTGTGATACAATTGGAGATTATTTCACATTAAACCCTTTTTAAATGAATTAATTGTGTTTCATTCTCCTCTAAACAAATCAATTTCAAACCTGTGTAGATTCAAACCAGGCGCCACTTTGCCGGCTTCTGATTGGCCATCGGCCGGGCTGGTCGAATTTGTAACATGGCGGTGATTGCTGTAGAATGATAAATTTGTAATAGTGAGTAAGGTGAGATTATTAAATGGAGTTTCCAAAGATAAAGCTCAAACACATTCCTTGAAGTGCGAAGTGTCGGTTTAGTGATGTTTACGACGTAATCGCAAAATTAATCGTCGATTTTCATTAAAAAAAACATCAAAATGAGGTAAGTATTGGATTTTACAATTAAATAACAATTCCACCTGAGATTAGCAACAAAAAAAAACGGTTATTTAACACAAAAACGAGTCGTTATGAAAATTAATTAAATAACTGTGGTTACTAACTCACTAAAATGGAGTAACCTGCAAGCAACTATGACTATTGTTCGGCAAAACAATTTTTTGACAGTTGTTCAAAGGATTTGTTGTCGGTTCTTGTTTTCATTACTTTCGCCGGTGATTAACGAAAAAGGCATGCTTTTGTTTTGTTTTCCTTCTTTCTTATTGATTATTAAAAGGTTGGGTGTGTTGAACTCACCCTACGAGGGCTTCCGAAAAAATAACATATTTCATCCTCTTTTTTTTTTAAATCTCCTCGTTGGTATTTTAATTCGTTTCGCAGTCTCGAGTTTTTGTTTCAAACACATATGGTGGAGTGTTTACATTATCGGGATATTTTAGATGCTGATTTAGCTTTTTTTCGTTTTGTTTGGACAAATGACACTGACATCCTCTTGTTCTTTGTGGTAATTAAAATTAAACAGTTGATTTTTATGGAGCAGCAACTGGCAACGCTGTAAATTTAACATGGGTGAAAAAATTTCAGACAACAACTAAAATCAAATGTGAAAAATGTCAAAAATTTGGAAAACATACAATGTTGCCAGTTTTCCTGAACTGTCAACCGGAAATTGAACAATTCAAGGATGTCACACTTTTTAAGCATTTTGCGGTTGATTTATATTTTACCTCCAAACATAATTGCCTTGAAACGCAATTATTAAACCAACTTTAAAGGTCTCTTGAAGTAAACTACGTGACATAAAAAATGCACCACATATACTCCGTGACATAATTATGTCACTTTCCCTAAAATTCCATAAATAGTTACTCTTTTATCAGCTGTAACAAAGTTAAGCCAAATACTAATCAGTTGATTTTCCTAAAAATGGGGTACATAAGTGGTGAGAAAGGCCCATTTTCTATGTCGCGTTGTTTAGTTTTGTCTGGCATGTAGGCTTTAACAATTGAAGTCGCCCACAAAACTCGACTTTACATTGTAGTTAGTTGCGAATTTTTGTCCTGACTCTGTATGAAAATATCTCGGATATAAAGCGTAGCTTTCATTCGTGACTTCCGCATCACACGCTAAAACTCTGGGATGTTTCAGTATTGCCGAAATGAGTTCCAGTCAAGAAGTTCGTAGAAGGTATCGTCCTGGCATGATCGTGGACGTTTATTATAGTTCTTATCACTTTTGCATGTGCATGTGATAATATTTGCATGAGTTTTTCAACCTTTAGTTTAATGGTATAATAACTCTTTTCCTGTTTCGAATCGTTTTCAAAATAAAGTACGTTGACCACAAGTGTCACACATTTTCAATTTCGTTAGACCTCCTTTTGCGGAAATTAGATCCTGGGAATTAATTGACTTTTACTCTTTTATGTGAAAGTGAAACGTTCTTAGCTGAAGCTCGAGCATTGTAATATTTTAATGTGAAATGACGCATAAAATCCTTATTAGATATTAACAATGATTCTGATTTTGGAATACGTAATTAAGATGCATGCCGAAACTCTGACCGGATGCGGAAATCAATATATCTCTTGCATCTTTTTGCTGACGGTAAAAATAACTCATTTCAATTGGATTTTGTCCAAACCACATTTTTTCGGTTTATCAGCAATTCATTACCAATTTTTTAGAATGAGGGATACGTGTTTCGCAATTTTAACATCATCAGGACTACAGTTTGCTTCATCTTCATCTATGTTACAATGAAGGAAACCAATCAAAACATGAATAAAATTGTACTTAATTAAAGTTTTTACAAAAAAATATTTTCCGATAGATCAACAGTCAAAGGCTTTTGACACTCGACCCCAAAAATTGTTTGACAATTTTCTAATTTACTTGACTATCTTACTTTCGAATAATTAATTTTTCGTCAGCTTTGTTGAACAATTGTTATTACATTGATTACTATTTTTAACTACAATTACTACGTGTTATCTCATTTTTTGTTTTCCCTCTACTATCACGAGGAAATAAAGCATGGTTATCACCGAAATTCTACTTTCCGCCCATAATTTAACAAAAGCGGTATTTTCCAACTTAAAAATCTAGCACATTTTTCCATTTAGTTGAATTATTTTTGCAATAACAACTCATTGTTTCCACATTTTTGCACTTAAAAACAATGCAACCGATTTTTTTCAGTTACTTCCAGTCCGTTTTTTAAGTATTAGAATTAGGGGAGCCATATGGCTCGCCTAATTGAGTCCTCAAGGCCTAATACCTGCCGACTTAGTCGAAATTTAATCACTTGGAAGACGATTTGCATGCGGATTCCTGACGCCGAGCGTTACTTTAAAACCATTTAAGCCCTTATTGTCGACGATTAAGGGCCAGTTTGAGTCAGTGTTTGTATATGGGTCGTGTCACTCGCACATAAACAAAGCGTACGACCCTCCTGCTTCATATTAATATTGAACTTTGCTACCAAACTTCCTGATTAATAATACAACTATCTGTGTCAGCATAATTTCCAGTCGGTTGTGGCTTGGCTTTTGGTTCACGTGTGGTTTGTTATTTTTCATCGAAAAAAAAATTGTGTGTGGTCGTCGAAATGGATTTCGATAGGGATAATTTGTGTAAGGAGATTGAAGAGGAATTTAATGTTACGTTGCGCAAGAGTCTGCGAGAAAGCTGGCAAGATTATTGGAACTGGTCAGTTAAATATTAATTTAAAAAATATTACCGAAACAAGTTTTAATCGTGATCAATTGTAATGTGAAAAAATTTCATTGTTTGGCATTTTTAGATAATTAAACTTTACGCATTTCATCATTTCTTAAAATCTGTGTTATATTCTGACTTAATTAATCATACATTCCTTACAAATGATTAATCCACATTTTTTATCACGTATACAGTTTGTTTTTTGTCTTTTGTAATGCTTTAATTTACATTAAAAGCTAATCACCTTTGAAATTACATACTCCTATTTATTTAACTTTTTAGAAAATGTGATCGTAAAACTGTAACTGCATTACCATAATAAATATCTAAAATTTTATCAAGACTTTTATTGGATTTGTGTCGTAAACCTATGAATAAAATTTTCTAATTTTTCCGGAATGTCATCCACGTGGAGTGTTTTAAAATGATACAAATACCTACACAATAATAATAATTGTTAGTAGTTTTTAAAGTGTTCATAGAAACATATCAGATAATTTCTTATCAGCTTCAATTCAATTAAATTATGGTTAAAAACGAGTTATTAAATAAACACAAAATCAATGCAAATTGAAGATTAATTTATGGTATTCAAATACAGTTTTAAAATGTATAGACATGATTATAAATTATGCTTTTAAATTATTGAATTTGGGTTCCAGTATCACGTTTAATCTGTGTAGAATGGAAAAATATTTTTATCCTAATCAAATCAAATCTTACCTGTCAACGATAAAAACGAAACCAAATAAAAAATTGTTTTATCCTGAGATATTTGCGTTTATTTATTATTTAAAAAATGTATTACTGATAATATTAATGTCACAAATGTTCAGTGTAATTCCTTTTTGATGTTTTTGGTGTGGTCCCCATATAGGGTGAAAATACATTTTCAGATTTTCTACTTAAAATTTTTCAAAGATACTGGATAATTTTTTTGGATTCTTCGTTAAATTGTCTTTTAACACGCCCACTATTTATTCTTTAGCGCTAACTATTGCTTTTAGGCAATTTGAAAATTATATAAAATAAAGTTTTAGTTTTTCAAAAAAACATGGAAAGCCACTATCAAAATTTACCAAAAAGTCAAAACTAACCGAAAAGCAAACGCACAGAATTACTAATTGAACCTCAAAAAACCTAACACATTAAAAATTCAACAAACATTGAGCAACAACATTAAAGCCGCTGGCGACATCAATGGCGTAACATTACTTTTGCCAGTACTCTGTTTCTATCTTAATTTTTTTAATAGAAGACGAGTATTTTATTCCATTTTTATTAGATTTCTTAAAACGGATTTGAATTTTAAATTAAAGATTGGGCATTTTTTTGCATGTTTATTCAAATTCAATGTAATAAATTAATGTTATTAGAATTTTTGAAATGATGGTATTATCTAAATTTTAATTTTTTGTTATTTTTCTTTATAGTGAACAATCGATAGCTAGCGCAAGAGCTAGTGTTATGATCTACGATGACGTTAATAAGAAATGGATTCCCTCAGGAACATCATCGGGATTATCAAAAGTTCACATATACCAACATACCGTACAACAGACATTCCGTGTCGTCGGAAGAAAACTCCAAGATCATGAAGTACGCTACTGTCTCCCTTTCAATAATTTTTTATTTATTTAAACTAACAATTTTCAGGTTGTTATAAATTGTGCCATTTTAAAAGGACTGAAATACAATCAAGCGACTGCCACATTTCATCAGTGGCGTGACAATAAACAGGTTTACGGGTTAAACTTCAGCTCAAAAGAAGATGCGGATCTCTTCGCCAGGGCAATGTTCCACTCTTTAGAAGTAATTCATTAATCAGTTTCAATTCATTACTTTACTAATTGCAAAAAAACTTGAATAGGTACTTAGTAATATAGTTCGACAACCGACTCCCCAATACGCCCCCCAGATGCCCCCTCAAATCCAACAACCGGCGATTCCCCAACAACAATACGACGAAGACATGGGATACCGCACGATGACCCGCGAAGATGTCGCCATGATCCAGGAACGGCGGATATCAAACTCGCTAATGTCGCCCCAGCAGACGTCGCCGATGACTCCCCAAAACAACGTGCCTGTGGCGCCGGCAATGCCGATGTCGGTTGCTGCCGCCGTCGCCCCTACGCCTATTTCGCCACCGTCGAGCGGACACCAAAGAACGGTGAGCGCGCCCCCAGCGCCGCCACCACCACCAGGTGGCCCACCGATGCCTCCGACGGGAGGAGCGGCTCCGCCGCCGCCACCACCACCTCCTATGAACATGTCGAGGTCGCAGAGCAGCGACGGCGGAGAGGTGAACTCATTGGCAGCGCAGTTGCAAAACGCTAGGTTGAAGAGGAATAACAAGGTGAACATAAAAAAAATAAATTATGTGACCTTATAAACCTATATGCGACGCCTATGGAATAATAATTAGCTATTGAAAAACACTGGGTTGTCATGGATACAAGTGTAGTAACCATGGTAACCTCGGATTTTATCCATAGGCGTCGGTATTTTTCAATATTTGAGAGAAAATATTTTTGTTTATTAGAATACGCCGCCCCCGACTGAGAACAGCGGCTCGTCGACCAGCAGCGGGGGGAGTAGTAATTACGGGACGCTCGGGAGGGGAGGTGGAGGAAGTATGGCATCGATGATGGACGAAATGGCCAAAACGTTAGCTCGAAGAAGAGCTGCTGTAAGTAATTTTTTGTTTTAGAAGTAATTTGTGTTAAAAGTTTGCTTTAGGTTGAGAAGAAAATCCCCGACAAAGATGAAGAAGAGAAAAAGGCCGTTTGGGAGAAAACGAATACGTTGCCGAGTAATACGTCTAAGTTTTCCGAATCGCCGAAAAGTATCCGAAAACGGTTTGGCTCTGCTTCCGAGGAGACAATTTTAAAAGTAAACGGCCTATCGGAAGTTTCAGGGCTGTCTCTTGGACCAACCGAATTAGACAGTCTCAAAAACGAAATAGTGAAAGAAGTGAGGAAAGAAATAACAAAGATGAAACAGGATATAATAGACGGTAAAGAAATGTTTTTCTTGTAGTGTGTTTGATTAATTGTTGTTTTTCCAGCAATCAAATCAGAACTGAACCGAAGGTAATTTCTTATTGCCTTATTTTGTGCGTGAAAATTTTTTAAAGTTTTACACTTGGATCAAATCATGCGACAGTTTCTAACATTAAACAGTAGTAATCGGTATTAACGTAAAAAATGTACGTTTATGGAACGAGTATGTTATTAATGTTTCCTATTTGCTGTTCTGTACGTTTTTCGTAATTAGTCAACGGCGTTGATCGACGGGTCTAGACACATGAGGTTGAATCTTTTTTATTACTTATTATAATTTAAAAGTTTTTATTTGTGATGATTGCATGTGTCAAGTACAGAATAGCGGAATTTTAAAGTAATGCTATATAGATGTCGTGGATATAGAGCACTTTTATTATAAGTTCTAACATAGTATTTATTTTATTATAAGTTAATTAGGCATTTAAAGATTTTCAGTGATTCCTATGTAACACTGTCTCATTGAACGTAATCAAACAGTGCTACAACTTTTGTAAATATTTATATAGGACTTCCAATGACCTACATATTTATTAACAGCTGATTCGTTGCCCAAGAAAATGTCAAAAAATTGTCTTACTCTGAGTGGTTGTACGCATTTAATGCTTTGGTGCCAACAATGTGAGAGAGTAAGACAGTTTTCATTCCATTTTTTTTCTATTTTGTTCAAAATGAAGGGAAACAATGATCGTGTGTATAGAATCATAAGTTAATAGATGCTTATTAGATTAGTGTCAAATCATATATACATCGAACGTTTCCATTTATCATTCTTCACATTTTATATGAAAACAAACCATTGGTAATCCTGCATCAGACGGCAGTTTTATACATTCTCGCTGTCGTGTTTGTGAATAGTGGATTGTTATCGAAAGCTCACCCAAAAAACGAAGCATTGAGCGAAAAATATTGTACTACAGACATAATCAGTGATTGCAATTTTATATATAATTTCTTAAGTACATATGTTATAACTTTGTGATATATAACTGCATTTGAATTTATTGTATATTGTCTAGCACCTTTTTTGTTTTGTCTTCTTATTTTTATTTTGTATGTGATCTCAACTCAAAATTAGCACAATTTTTCTAATTTTTTATATTTAAAAAACATTTTCATTCGTAACTACGATTACGTTACAAATTTTACAATGTATTGAAATAAACATTTGAAGTACGTAACTGGTTTTTTGTAGTGGATTAGTCTTTGTCTTGTTTCACCTCGATTATTTATTTTTGTGTGAATTCGTGACTAATTTATTTTCCCAATAAAGTATTAAACGTTTTTTGATATCTTTATTGCAAAACCCCAAACACTGCGCCATTATTATTTACCTTCACCGACGAGTTTTCCTGCAGCGACAACAAAGGAATTTCAACATAATCTTATCTTTTCCATGTATTGTACAAAATGTACTTTTCGATTGCAGGACATAACAAATGTTTATTTTGCGAAAAAACATCAAAGGAAAATATAGACATGTCGACAATCATAAAAAAGTAAATACATGTAATTTGAAAATGAAAGGTAGATTTTTACTAAACTATATGGATAAAAGTAATTATGGAGATGCACAATTGTCTTTGTAGTCTGAACAATTAAAATTTCCAAAATTTAATGTCCAGTCAGGTTTGGACGTACCGTATCATTAATAAACATTTTTTTCTAATTTGCGTTTATAATACGTTTATTAACGTGTCCCGTAGGAGTCGTTTATGGCTCTATAAAAGCACACTGTGCTTTAATGAATTTAGGGTTATTTAGTTTTTGGATGCCGCTTTTGACTTGTCAGGTAACAAATTTTGCGTTGTTGCTTCGGCAATTTCGCGAATTTCGGGCGGAGTGCAAACTAAATTTTGTTTCTCATATTTTATTTATTATTACTATGTTGTAATACTAATAACTAATAATTTGTAAATTTTATTTTTAATGACAGACGGCAGAAATGACTCAAAAAACAGGTGTTACCAACCGATACCAACTAACACAAAATTCTCTAGGCGACAAAAATATATATTTTTTTAATTAAAATAAGAAAAAAGG